CTGCTCGAAATTCGTTTGTAAGTTGCTACTGAAGATGAGAGAGTGAATTTGCACTTGGATGAGTCACTGCCTACCGGAAGCGACAAACGTAGAAACAACAAAACGAAAAGGGACAAAACTTCACAGCAATGAACCTGCACTCGGCGATATAATAGTCAATGTTTGTCCTTATAATACGGAAGAGGTTTTATAGGAAGATTTAAATTTAAACCAAATTCAAACAATTGAACGCTGATCTAATACCGGTCGCCGAGAATTCTTCACACGATGATTTTTTCGATATCTTTACTTAAGGGTTTATTCTAGTCTAGAGGCTCGAATTTCGAACTTTTTTCAACAATTAAWAACAAAGAAGCACTAGCTATTTTTACTACCGTTTTTTTATCATTTGTTGATTAAACTTAGAAGAGTACACAAAATAAATTWAAAAAAAAAAAATTCCATCGAGTTATGCGTCCTTGAGGGAAAGAGGGKAAAAAAGAGGCCGTATCCTCATCGCCAAGATTTCTGCGCTTGTCGATAGACTCTTAATGAGTACGAATGTCGCTTTGCAATGAAGCAGCAAAACTAAAAAAAAAAAGTTTCAAAAAATGGTGGCTACTCAAAAAAAAAGGTCGATTTTTCACTAATCTTCCATTTTTATCGATTTTTTTTTAATATTATAAATTTCAAATTTTTCTTTTTTGTTGCTTCTAGTGATAAAATGGCGACTACTCAAAAAAAGGTCGATTTTTTCACTAATTTTACAATTTTGTCTATTTTTTTTTAATATTATAAATTTCAAATTTTTCTTTTTTGTTGCTTCTAGTGATAGAGATATATTTAGAGAATATTCATGCCAAATTGCAAATAAATCGATCTGATTAGAATTTGAGATATTGCGGCTACCGCATCAAAAAAAGGAATTTTAAGAAAAACGCGTTTAAAGTTTTACGTTAAGTTTCGGGCAGCGTAATATTTAGATAGATAGTTCGCTCCACCGGTCTAATTGCCACGTCACTAAAATGGCTATAACTTTGAAAATAATTTGAGTTTTGAAAAATCCTTTTAGGGAGATATTTTTGAATATCAAAACTATCGAATTATGAAAAACACAGTCGAAAAACCAATTATTCATTCAATTTAAGAATCAAGATGACATTACTCCGTCGTTTTAGTTCACTTCGGTCCACGGCAGTAGAGGTTTGGACGAATATTTTGTAAAACAATTGCAGTAGTTGGCTCCACCTATAACCCTATTTTCTTTCAAATCGAACGTTTTCGCTATCAAATCGCCTCAATACCTATTGTCGAAGTTGTAAAATATTGTGTCTCTCTTTATACCTCGCATTCATGTAAATTCAAATTGTAACCGGTTCACGCTTGACCATGGCTTCAATTCGAACAAAACCCAACAAGTGCCTACGACAAGCTGAAAGCGCCGTGCAAAAAACTTAARCGCTCAGCAATAACCGCAAACAATGGCAAAATGAAATATAGCACAAAGCTATTRTACTCTTATTGGACGGCAAACGGCGTAAGTAAAGTTGCCACAACASCGCTTGGCATCGCCGCTAATGCCGCCATCACAACGAGTGACTCATTCATGGCAATCGTGACGGCGGTACTTTTGGCGCGAGCTGGGCCCAACATTCGATTTGTAATTACATAAATRTGTGYATATTAGTTTACAACTTTGGTTCCAAAAAAAACAGCGACTTGAATAAAGTAGACGGGACTGGTGTGCGTTTAGCCGCGCCAAGTGTTAATGATATTCGAAGCCAAWGTACATATGCAATGCGAAAATACCCAACGAGATGCAATCAATCAAGCCTTGGAAGTTCGTACATAGACAGCACCTACCGGCCGCGCCAAAGCCGCAATAAAGACGCGCAACGTCGAGGGGTAATGGATACGTACACAGTTATAGGCACACGCACAACCAAGTTGCCACCTAAGTAGGAAAGAGCGTTGGCACACTCACATACTACGGCAAGTAAACACAAATGGAGGCAACAAAATTGTAACCGGCACAGAACAGCAACACTAGGTCTCAGAGCTAAAGCAGGCGCGTCCAGCGTGGGGCAGGCGTTGTTGACCGGCTACTCGTTTGCCTCCGGTTACRATAATCGATGAGTCTAACTAACACGAAATACGAGACTGCACTGAACGAGAGCAGAGTCGAGCGTAACACGCCTACGCTGTTGTATAAATTAAATAGTTGAAATTGCGAATACACTTTGGTCAGCTTTCGAAAGCTGAAATCGAGTCAAAACATAAAAGAGGAAATGCAAAGAGGAAGCAAAAGCATAATAAATTTGCACAATTCAAATAATTTGAAAACACGTCGACAGAAGCCAAACATTTTGAAATATCCATTACAGATAGAGAAAACTAAGGAAAGCAACGATCGGCACCGCTTGGTAACTCGACACTACTAAACTATAACGAAATGGGTGCTCTAGGAGGCATGGAGAGCATTTTACCGTTTTTAAAGTAAAATATGATTGTGAAACCTTATGACACCCTCCCTATTTAAATGCCTACACAAATTTTAAAAGTAATATTTTTAAGATATAAGTGAAATAACGAAAATATGCAAGAAAACCATAAAATTTAAGTTTTTTCCTCAATTTTAAAAACGTAACTATTTTCAGCATCAAGCCTAGTATTACAAGAAAACCCAAATTAACAATTAGTAGAAATATTTTACTCAGAAACTTGTTGGCGCGGAGTTTCCAAAATTGCGTAAAATTTTTGGCTTTAATAATTTTTCACTTGATTATTTCGATTTATTAGCGTTTGTTATATCAGTTGTTGTCCAGTCCAGTCGCAACGACTATTTGATATTTTAGTCTTATAGTAGAAAATGTATTTTCACTTCACTGTCCTGCTCGAAATTGAAAATTTTGATTAAGCTCATGCACTCAGGCGAGTTGTTTTTTTTTTACGTAGTTATAAAATTTATCTGGATAAGATGTAATATTCATTAATTGGATGTATTACAAGCCATGGTAACATGTATAACATAGAACTTTTTATTTTAAAAATATCATGCCACAACACGTCTTGTTTTGTTGCTTTCATTCTGACTTTCTATAGCATCGATCTTCACTTGAACTATTATAGCTTATCTTCGTACCCTCTGACATCCACCTTAGAACAATAGTGAGTAAATTAATACCAGCGATTGCGTGAACTGAATGTGTTTACGAGTGAGGCAGTCTATGGGTTCATGCACATTTCTCAAAAACTAATGAATTTGCAWTGCGAACGGAATAATTTGTTACTTATTCACAAACTGATCAAACAAATGAAAACACACTTGTCATAATAATAACTTAAATAACCAAAACTATCGCATACAATATTTGTTAGCTATGCAATTCGTATGCTTCGTCATGTTATCACTCTTTAATATCCACTTCGTTTACCACTAAATAGCCTTTGAAATTAAGTAGTTATTATCCCTTTGTGTAATGGTTATGATTCTCTTTCGAAGAACCGTCTTGACAATTCTTGGCATTAGGATTAATTTTGAGACAATTTACACCGAAACTAATCAGAAACTCGTTCATAACGATTTCACAAAAAAACGAATATCAGTTGCTACAGCAAAGTACTCGCACCATTCCCGCATACTCGTATGTATGTAGCACATTAAATTAATGATCTTCTACTTTTCGAACGGCTGCAGCATTTAATTTGCCACTCTTTTTCTGAAATATTTAGAAAGTTGGTATTTAGCTGAATTGTCGACCCTAATATGCAAAGACATACATATGTATGTATAATATGTACATATATATACAAGTATTGACGAATACGAAAGACGTTTTAATTTGACACTTACGAACAATCAGAAGAAAGGAAAAATTAAAGAGAAACAATAAATGCTTGAAAATGTCGTTATTCAATGATCCAAATGTGGTCAACTTTTTTAAGGTCAAGATTTGCTGTGAGAACTTAGTTGTGTGGAGATCATTAATTTCAAATCAACAAACACTGTACTAAGTCAAATGCACGAGCACAAACGAAACAAGAATGACTGCTGTCAACAACTCAGTGAGGTAGGACTGCCGTGTCCAATGGCCTTGAACTTCTTCWACATCGCAAGTCAATCGCTTTGCATTTTAAAGCAAAAACAATAGTCAGGACAACTTCACGCCAAATTAGAAGCACCCAAAAAAACTCAATCGCGGCGACAATTATAACGGTGACACAGAGAGGAATAATAATAACATCAGCACAAGTGATAAACGTTAAAAGCGTCAAAATGGCAATTTTTATGCAAATATATTTAAAAAATTTAATATTAGCATGGATACAAATTTTAAAATGTTTTCATACGTTGCATCWTTTCTTCGAATATTATTATGGAGTCTGTCATATGGTTCGTTTTGTTGCCAATTTGATTAAAACAAATAACTACTCTCCTTTAAACATTCAAACACACATCAAGTGCATACWTATACATATAAATACATACACAGGATATGGTTACAAAATTTTAGAAATGCTTCGGTTTGTTGTCTGACATAACAACAATTGAGGGACATTTCATTTACAGTTTTTTTAATGTTTCTATGAGTAACATGTTTGTATTGTGTAAGTATCGACGCTTGAATAGAGGAAATCCACTGACAGTAAAGCAATTTTCACTAGCCATCCATGCTTTTAAAGGCTTTACACATCTAAAACCACTTTTAATTTTCAGCTATTATCGCCCAAAAGCAATTTGTACAAATTTTAACATACCAAATATACTCAACAAACACTGCAATTAGGTTATAACTTCATAAATTTTATATGTAGAACAATTTAAACCCGAGATAAAGTTATTTTTTTATTACAATATACATAAATGTGTGTATGTAAATTAAGTATGTKTTTAAATTATTATTGGTAAAATTTAATCTTTGCAACAACGCAATTCAGTGATCATAATATAGACACATATGTTTGTATATATAATATGTGCATGTATGTACATACATACATATGTAGTTATAAAAACTTACCTTGGCATACAATTTGGTGGTGTGCGATCCACTTCCCAAGCAGCGAATAATTTCATTGGCACCGGCTTCTGACCGTTTTGACTGCCAACASCGGTGTGCAATAGACTACTAGCGCCAGTAGTAAAACCGCTGTTGACACCACTCCCACCCCCACCACTGCCACCGGCACCGGTGCCACTGACACCCATGTTGGCGCTAAATTTATCCAACTTGGATGATTTATCTACCATTTTCATTAGGCCGGACGTTCGGTTTGTTACACGGGAAAAGAGAAATTTCGATTGGCGAGTTGCAATTGCAACAGCCTTGTCTTCTTGCGACACGTGTTATAATTTGTTGCCTAGTTATTTCTGCGTATTAAATGTATGATTTCATTTGTTATATGCAGAGATACAATTTTACTCTTTTCTTATTTCGTATTTCGGCGATTTTACCTTATTACCGCATAATTGGACAACATTATTATTATCTTAATATTGTTATTACTTATGAATTATAGTTCATGTCTTGCTGATCTGAAACATTTAATTGGTATTTTATTACATTCTTAATATTAATATTATTAAACTTTACTTCCAAAATTTTTAGAATTATTTGTTTCTAAAATATTAATAAAACACCTATATTTTAAATACGACACAAGGCAACACCAAAAAGTATTGGCAYACATGTATATATTTAACTGGGCGTGCCGCTCCCCCATAAATAGTTGAAACAATTCGGAGCTGTTAATCTATCAAAGACTCTTTACAAATATTACAGTAGTGAATTCAGCAAGCTAATTAATTTTTCTACCGTACATACTAAAATAAWGTATATAATTTTGACAATAACTATTTATTTTGTTTATACACACATTCGGTRAGAACACTGCACATTGATTTCATCTGAGTTTCATTTATTGGATGTATCTCGCAACCATCCCCGCTTCACTTCACATGCACATTCATTAGCAAATACATGCACACAACCATTATACAACACCCACTGTGCATTTTGCTATCTCTATGACCACATATATGATATGGATTCTGCACATTATTGCTTATTCTGCTTCTTATTCATTCATATTTTTTAAATAACTACATTGCAAACCAAAATTTAGGGATTTCACTAAGATTCACTGAATATTTGCACACAATTTGTGGTCTTTACTACATGTTTTGCTATAGGATTGATTAGTTGTAGCGCAACTTGATGTTGCGCTTGGGCGCTGGTTTAAGTTGCGCTGCTCACCGTAGATACTTCTATAGCGCTCCGAAGTCGATGTCAAACTTGCTTTTATTTTCTGTTATGCCTCGCAATAAAATCCCACTACAGATACACAAATACTGAGGAGTTGCCACAGTAGTTAGAAACATCAAAAGACGTATATGAATTTCTCAACAATTATGTATTTCATTATCTATTCTTTTATTATTTTTTATGATTTACGTATTCATATAATTTTCATATTTATTACGCTGTAACAAACACAGTCGATTACTTCAGAAGCGACTGCCATATCTTATTGGAAAATTGCGATATACTATATAAAATAATACAGCAACCATTTCTTGAAATCGTGGTGAATTTGCGAGGCTGCAACCGGCAGTCTTGCAGATAAATTGGCCCCACTTGAATTTGCACTCTCAACAGAAAAGAAGTGGAATGAGAGAATCAACCACAGCTGAAAAAACACTTAAACCCAAATTTGACAACAACTTTTTAACACACAAATTTTGTTTTTCATCTTATACATATTTTTATTTTCACTTAATTCATTCTTTCAAATATTGACTGTTACGATTATATTTTCATGTATACTTCATACCATTAACATTTTATAGAACTCAAATAATAACTTTCATTAAACTTGACAATCCGCACAAATTTATTTCTACAATGCTACATACGTCGAGCAAACAAATTCACACTGATTATCCATCCTACTTCTGCTTATTTGTTCACAAGAGTAGAGAATGCCATAGTGATATTTCACCTTGGGGGAAATATGAAGCAAATAACGTAAATTACGTGACAGAGAACGGTTATAATATTATAAACGTTCTCTGGTTCTCTGTCGCTGTCGAAAGTGCTGCCAAGTTAAAGTGTTTTGTTAGAAAAGTGGTTAGTATCTAAAGTAGAAAGGTACATATATTATAATACAAAAGAAAAATGAGTTGTTTACAATTTAATAATTTTTTAATAACCACATCAGAATAATTATTCTCATATATATACCCTCTGTAATTAATATGAAGTCTCGATTAGAATATTGCTTCTAATATACAACAAACAGAAAATTATGCCTTGTTTGGTGATTGGGTAGAGGGAAATCTGTTAATTCGTAAACTGTTGTCGCTTAAATTTAAAATGGCCTGTTTAGAAAGTGGAAACGTTTCAATTTACACAAAATCTAGTTTATGATCATAATTTTAAAATTTCTTCCTTTCTCATTCTTAACAAACATAAATAAAAATTATACATTTCCATATTACAATAAATAAGCATAAAATCATCTGTATGCAAACTCAATTTCGATCCCACTGCTCTTGCTCTGCACTCATATACTGGCTATCACTCCATCCACCGCTTTGAGATTCATCCAAATCCTTTTTAATGTCTTTGATCGATTGTCTTGGGCCTTCATAATGAAAATGTGATATACGTTGCCGTGCTCCAATGTCCACTACGTAGTCCACGGCATTGATTTCAGTTTCAGTTGACGCGCCGGTTTCAATGGGTATATCCTTGAGACACTGTTGCAAATGATTAATGTAATTAATGGCAATGCTGAAAAGTAAATTCATTTGTATTTATTTGCGAATTGCACACAACTTGTGATATAATTTCTTTGAACGCACCGTAAACTTTCAATCTTTGAATACTTCTTGCCATTAGGCTTCGAAATAGGCAGTTTGGAACGGAGTAAATCGAACGCCCTGTTCATATCGCGCATTCTTGTGCGTTCTCTATCACAGGCAGTCTTTTTGTAATCTGCGGAGAAATCGATCCTTTTTTTAATATACATACATACATATTACATTCAACGTGTCGGCAAAGTCATCAATGATCTGGCTAAAATATTTTGAGTATATAAACGGTGATCCAAATAGGGGTAATTTTACCATAGCCTTTTTTAACAGATCACGTGTGAGTTGAGTTTTGTTATTCTAACGGATACCTAATCCCCGTTAGGATGATAAMGATTATCTAAGTTGACGTCGACGTCATCTAACGGGAGGCCCAACGAACGTGCTGTTTCGACGGGATTGGACCAAAGGGAAAAAGGTGTGAGATGAGTGGGGTTGGCGGAGCGTGCAAACAGGCGGCCAGTGTCATTGCGGAGACTCATTGCACGCAGGACATATGTACATATGTTGGATATGTCGGGGTCTATTCTGGATAAGTAGGAGTTTAACCTGCTACAATATTCATAACAAAGCTGCGCAAGGGTCCCTCTGGTTTCTCGTGGCAACCTGAGCTATTCGTCTGCAATGGATGGTGGCTTGACTCCAAGAACGCCATTCACTGGAAGGAAGTTGGTGAAGGTGTTGATAGCTCCACTATGAATGGCGGTCCCGAATCCTACAATCACGTGTGAGTCGTATCAAGCGGTCATATTATTTTTGTTCAGTATTGTTTGGCATTTCATTATAGAAAGTCTTACGCCTGAACAACGTCTACAAATCGTTCGCCCCAAGAAAATATAACTAAAAGTGTATACGAAGACTGTGGTAAGTGGTACGAAAACAAGCAAAATTTCCGTAATTGGAACGAAGAGCATCAAGAGCTTCCACTTCATACAGAAAAAACAACGATTTGGGATGGTTTGTGGGCCGGAATCATTGGTCCACATTTCTTCAAAAATTAAGCCGGTGAAAACTATTTGATGCCCGAAATTCAAGCCCGTGATCTCGACGATACAACAAGGTGGCGCCACTTCCCACACATTGCATCAATCAATGGATTTATTGAGAGAACACTTCGGTGAGCAGATAATTTCACGTTTTGAGCCGGTCGATTGACCACCAAGATCGTGGGATATCACACCATTAGAATCTTTCCTACGGAGACATATAAAACATCACGCGTCATCGAAATTTGGACTCAAGGGATGGACCATTTGAGGTGTATTCGCAAGCAACATTTGAAAGAAATAATCTTCTAAAAAAATTCCAAAGAATATTATTTCGAATGATAACAAACATTCCCCCATTAAACTTGAAGTTTCTATGTTTTTTCTTTAAAAAAGTAGGGTACCTCGAAAGGGATGACTATTTACAATTCTCAACGTACGCATTATTTTCTACAAAAGTGGATAACAGCTCAAATGCCTGTTCTGAAGAGTTTAGTTTAGCTAAACAGAAGTCCGATATCTAATTTTTATAGAGTGCTACTATTTGCACACATTATTTGAATTTCATCACATATTTCTCACCTTTCTCCAATTGCAGCGCTTTCTCTTTCCAAGAGGGATTTGTTTCCTTCGATATGATGTGCTCGCGTGCGTCGAGGTAATTGATACTAATCGGTGGTGGGACCACTTCCGCAACAGATTTCCCTTTCTGATCGGCAGCTAATGGCCAAGTACTCACGGTCTGTGGAATTTGCGTTGGGTAAACACTAGGTGTAACGGTGGATATTCCGCTGGAAACAACCGCAGAAGAAGCGCTTGTGTGTGGCGGCACTATTGTATTCGGTGCRGGAGGTGGTGGTGTCAACGAATTCTCATAATGAGTATACGGATTATTGTAAATCGGTGGCGAGAGGTGTGTTGTAACAATTGGCAACAAGTGAGGATCGGCGGGAGTATGTCCAGCATAAGGCGCATAGTGCGAAGCGACCAAATACGCATTCCCACTCAGATGCATATCCAGAGGATACTCTGAATTGTAAACCGATGCCAAAACGTTTGCGCTGACGGCCACTGGCTTGGGTGTAGTRCCAAGCTCCAAAATAATTGGCTTTTCCGTTTCCGATTGATAAGAATCAGCGTCCTCACAAACTTCCGCCGTGCTGTTCGTGACATCAATCGTATTGGGCAAAAGTGCCGTCGGCATGTCGTTCGCACGGCCGCTTAGCAATTTATCAGACATTGCACGATCTTAATTTAGTATAAAGGCTAACTTGCTCTTGCACGAACACTAATATACATGTATGCATATGTATAGCTAGAAGGGCACATGGATTACACACTAATCTTTTTATTTTCTTTCAGTATTATTTATACATAGACACATGTACATACATATATATGTACGTTGTAACCGTTTTTATTCAGGCATATTCCGTTTCGCAATTCAAATGAAAATTCAATTATTGTTTTAACACGTCGCGCTCGCGCTTATGATCGTCCATCAGCGACAAATGTTTTCAGTAAAATGTCGCAAGATTTGAGATCGATTCGTTATCGCACCTTCAAGATCACTTTCGTTTTTAAGCGTTAAAAGTCGAGCTTAGGTTCTCTTCGCGAGGAATGTGTGGCAGCGTACGAAACACACAACAATATAAGTATATGTGTATGTGCGTATGTGGCAGCCAATGTGGCTGACACCACCTTTAATAGCTTACATATAAACCAATAAACGCAGGCATATACAGTACAAACATATTCACATACATACAAATGTACATAGGTGCTTGGGTTTCATGCATTGACGCCCTCTGCTCCGGCTYCATTTTTAATATTTCATACTCCATTCAATATTCAATTTGGTTTAATGGGAATTAGTTTCATAAGTAGATATGATGGCTTAACGTAAGTGGTCTCAGTGATGCCTGACGACACAGGAACGGTTAAATTCGGTTTGAGCCTGCAATGTAAACYTTCACATCAAAACAGTATGTTTAAAAAATTGCCATATATAGTGTTTGGCCACATATCCTGAATATATGGGTGACATGCAAACAAGCTGGACCAATTTACGAACGTCCCCTTCCATTTGTTACGAGCTCTTTGATATCCCTTCAACTGTAGGGACCTTGAAGAGAATGACTATAATCCCTATAGATTGGTCCGTGAAGAGAATATATGAAACCTACAAACTAAAGGCTTTTGGGTTGCAAAGAATAACAACATGCCTAATATCAATCACGTGTTCCAGGCTTCTATAAGATATCTGAATTATATCCAGCAATCGCGTGCAAGATCGACCGAGAGAAAAAATTTTAAGAGCCAAATTGGAATGGTTTAATGATATAGTCAAATCTTACGAATGCCACGAAACGTATAAAAAGTTGCTTTAAATTTTCTAAGTCACTTAAGGCGTACATATACTTARGTATGTATGTATGTTTCAAAATTCCGTTATAGCTAAACATACACATATGTATGTACGTGAATACACCGGTCCAYAGTTCTAGAGTACACAGTTTTCGGACAAAAGGATCGTACATTCATCATTATAACCATTTTCATATTTTCGTCGGGCGCTGGAACCAAAGTACCAAGCGACATTAACCATTCCACTAAGACTTTGTTTGCTATTTACTTTCTACTTTTGATTAAGAGCTATTCTCTCGGCATTTATGTGAAAAAGTGTGCTGAAAGTGGCATATACTTATCTACATATGTATGTATGTATGTACGTAAATACTCTTAATACATACATATCGGTGCATGAGCAGTTACATACATACCCAAAACAAAAACAAAAAACAGATGTATTTGTTTATACACACACATACATACGTATGTACATATGCATGCGTGGGACTAGGTTCAAAAGAGGTCCAATTATTGCACTTCGTCACACGTGCAACAAGTGTGTCTGTATTGTACACCGCACTCAGGTGTACAAGTGCATATTCATCATTTGCCACTCCACTATTTACTTAGATRGAATTGTGATCATTTGTCAACAGTCAATTTACTCATCCGTCCGCCTATTTGACAACCGTCTCACAGACGCTACACTTCAATTAGATTCGCATTATAAAGGATGACGTTGACATACGACCTCCATTCGTATTTACATTACATATGGCTGTATGTGTATTTTTTTTTTTCTTATTAGACTGGCTGATACCACGATAGTGAGTCCTTAGTCTCTCCATTTCAGAACTTCAAAACAAGTGCAGAAAAGTCCATTATCACCGCGAATGACACTCAATGTTTAAGAGATATACTTTGCTGTAGCCGAATTATGCACTGCCGAACTATACGGTATAGGGCTACCCATTATCAAGCTCCACTCAACGCTTCGGCCCAATGAAAACAGGGCAAAAATCTCATTACTAACTTGTAACAGTTACTTTTACAAGTATTTTTCAAATTCATTTCCCATTTATTTAGGTATTTTGAAACTGTGAAACATACAGGCTATGGTCCTATTGGATTTCTCAAGAATTACGCTAGGATTATGTATTTTTTATGTGGGTTATTTTGAAAGTAAACTAGTTACGGAGCATTTARTTTTATCCATTTATATTTAGAATAAGGATAATTAAAAATTCATTTTTTGGACATATGTACATACATATATAYCTGATGTATTTGAATATTCCAAGACTGAGTTATAATTTTTTTAAGATAGTCTTACTGTTATTCATTAACACATAAACATATTGCATTGCTCTATTTCATTCTTTTATTTATAATTTTTTTGAAGTAAACACAAGTGTTTTGCTAAATGAATTCCGCTTACATTTATATATAGGAATATATGTATGTATTCATTTTATGAGGTATGATCGAATGAAATGAAGTATGCATTTGTCAGATTGAACCTTCTCAAGAATTACGCATTTCTTAGAAAGTTAGCAGGTTTTTCAGCTTGTGTTCCCTAATCATTATTAAAACACCCCTTGTATTCTTGTCAAAAATATTAAATATCAGCTCGGTGGGTCTGGTCCAAAAATAAATCCTTTACTTAGACAGTGACGAAATGAGAGATAAAGCCCACATTCTTTTATGGGGGTATTCTAGTCTACAGGCATTAATTTCAAGTTATTTTTGAAGTGTTGTCAAACAAAGGCAATTAATTAAAAATWAGTACTATAACTTTTTTTTAATCAGTTATTAAAATTACAAGAATACAAGAAAAAATAAAAATAAAATATTAAAAATTTCAGAAAATAGTAGATGATGAAGAGGTCTCATAACATTACATGGCACGTGACCTTACCCAAGATTTTAACCCTCCTTGCATTCTGCAACCAAAAAAAAAAAGGAAACATCACAACTGGTTTCTGACGAAAAGTGTGTGACGTTTGTTGTTCATTTGAGTATTTGAATTTACGGCAGCATAAAGTAAACCTCTCAAAATTCAAAAAACTCAGAATGGTGTGAGYTGTGATTTTTATGAGGTCTGTTTTCTAGAATAATATCACAATTCATGAATGTTAGGTATTTTTGAAAAAAAGAAAAAATGTAGATTTTATTCCAATCTAAAGCAACGAAAATTTAAGATTATGGCTTTAATCATCTTGAATATTTCAGGACTAAAGTCTAAAGTATAAAAAAAGATCGTAGACTATAGCTCGTTTTTACCATTATCAAACTTATTAAAAAATAAGCATTACAAAGGAATAAGAGTTTTTGCCTGCACATTAAGGCAATTAACTAAGACTGTAATATATTCTCGCAAGACTGTCTATCTACATAACCGGAAGTGACCTGGTTTCGAAAAAGCCCTAGTGTTTTCTCCGTATTTATGCGAACAATTTTTAAGCTGTTCGAAMAACTAAAACTATTATAAAAACAAAAATATTTTTTCTCTTTGTGTCACTACAACTTTTTTATTTGTATGACCATGGGTTATTAAATTGTAGTTTATATGTTACTCCAATGTATGACATAACATATGTATATGTATGTACCTATGAATCGCGAACAACATGCAATCTACAACGTTCTTCTCAAATTTCAAATTACAACTGCATTATTTAACAGCGTCGTCGCGTAATAAAATAAATTGTTAACAAATGTTTTTATGTTCTAGCCCTCATTCAAGTATTCAGACCATAGATATCGTAAATATGGGCGGATAACTTTTAATTAGGTCAATATTACATTTGTTTACTAAATAACTGAAAGCAATAAAACAACTCATTGACATTACATGGGAGTAAGATATTTTCTTTTATTTGCTACAGCTCCAAATTAGGAAAACTCTCCAAAGCATAGCAATTATACTTCAAGACAATAATTCAACATAATAAATATTCATACTATTTACGAAATGCGCTTTACTTCTCACTCAAATATTATTGCGCAAATTTCAATGAACGTATTTCGAAGAACTTAGCCACGGCCTGATCCGTTAAGGCTTTGCGCGCTTTTTGGTGCTCTTCTACAATGGGACTAACCACTTCAATAGCCAGTTTTTTCAATTCGCCTGTTAGTAACTCTCCTTTTAAGTACGCATTACGAACTTCCTCCAGCTTAGTATCGTCTTCTAGGAAAAATTTCAGGAGTTGGAATGCCACGTCTACATAAGGATTGCCGCCTAATTTACGGTGTTCCTCAACAGTGGCACGTCCACCGGAAAATGCATATTTATTGATTTTATTTTTTATTTGTTTTGGGGTATCCGTGAGAAATACCGCCGAATTATTATCGCTGGCTGACATTTTCGATTTCGCGCCTTGCAATGCAGGGAAAAAACTTGAATGCAGCAGCGCACATTTTGGAAATCCCAGACGTGGCGCCACGTCACGCGTCATACGGAAATATGGATCTTGGTCGATTGCACAAGGAATGAGGCAATGTACTGGCTTCTTGCCCTTAAATATAAAAGGAAATGTGCTGGAAAGTGCTGGAGCAGCTTGTACAGCAGGGAAACTGATTTTACCAATTATATCAGAATCACCAAAACCAAAAATGCCTTTCACTTGATTGAACGTCACACACTTTTGTATGCGAACCATATTCTGGTACATCGCTGGGCATTTACTAAAATGTAAACTTATTAGAACCGGAAATATTTGTAAGTCTATACAGGTATTTACCCAATGAAATCGAAATCATTAAATATGAACGTCTTTTCCGGATCGAAACCAATAGCTATTATATCTTTAGCATTTTCATATGCCAATTGTATGGATTCTTCGACCTTGAGGTCTTTCCAGAGTGATTTCTCGTCGTCTGTCAATTGTATGACCAACGGTACATCGAATATTTCTTGCAACCATCTGTGAAGAGATTTGTAAATTAATTGTACATACATACAATATATTAAAATTTTACTTCAATTATTGGCGTTAAAAATTTGTTTCAATTAAATGTAGGCAAAAGAAAACACCTACTTGGCCATATAAAAAGGTATCAAATGTCCTATATGCAAGGAGCCAGAACTTGGCCCACGTCCTGTGTACAGATAAAATGGTTTACTCTGCTCTTTTAAAGTCAATATTGAATGAAAATCACGATGAGAAAAGAAAATACCACGTCGTATAAAATGGTGAACTTGTTTGCCCGTTATCTTTTCAAAACGTGCTATAAGTTCTTCATCAATTTTCGATGAACCAAATCGTTCTAAAATATAAGTAGAGTAGTTGAAAAKATTAAAAAATTATAAATGTAATAGTAATTATACTTATTAGCTTATCATAATCGATGCCCTCGTCATTGGTGCTAACAACATTCCACGGATCAACTACATCGCCTTCATTTTCGGTAGCTTCCACACCGTTCGGTACCTTGTCTAATTTCTCGTTGCTAGCATTATTTAATGTTAGAGCATCAACTCCTTCGGCAACACCTGGCGATTCAGTTTTATCCATGATTTGTGTGTTTGATGGACAAACTTTCTCACTTTAACACGTGTACACTGTTCAATGAAATGTTTTTAATAGAATAATATAATWAATTATTATATGCAACACTTTTCGATTACTCAAAATCTTTGTTTTAAAAATTCCTGGCAACCGTTGTTAGTTTAAAGAATTTGGAAGTGTGTCCAATAATTTTTATCGAATGACTCAAATGTAAGTTGCATGCATTGATGTAGCAACAAATTTACAATCACCAGAAGAGGAAACAGCTGTTTACAGTGTTCAAAGTTACAATATTTGTGGAAAAAAATATTGACCATTTAATATATTTTGAAAGTCGCTCATTTTGAACTATACCCAGAGGAAACATAYAAATATATATATATATGTTGATAATCACTTTGTCGGCCAACTGAATGTCTTTATGGAATACTTATCAGTAAATTTAATAAATTTTTACATGAAGAAACTTTAAAATCTAAAGTAATCATTCACAAAAATTTTCAACACTTGTCCGAGTACAGAAAATTGAAAGCAATGTAATCAATGGGAAAATAAATTGTTCCACTCACGAAGAATGAGAAAACTGTTTTATTACAGCTTCGTGATTATTTTTTTCGGTGCGTTTGCCAGGGCAATACTAAATTTACTGTTGGGTGTATGTCATCAAATACAACACTGCGTTAATTCGTTTTTGCATTTATCAACAAAGTTATTGAGATAATTATTTATGTTTTTCAAATAAGTGGGTGTTTCTCGTAATTTATTGAACAATCTAATATTCAACACTTCCTACAATATGCCAATTATGTACAATACCGGTGATTGGTTTTCTCTGCGACCGGATACTTATAGGTAAGAAATAAAGCAATTCATCACAATACCGTTCAAMCAACACCAAGTACTTATAATCATTCAGGAAACTGGACCTTTTTACTCCCGATTGGCCCCTTGATGTGGATTTGGAGTACATGGAAGTCGTAGGCGCACCATTTGGTGGACCATTAGCAATGATTCGAGATCCGAAACAAATAGTTCCTATTAAAGGAAGTGTCAAGCCAATGATTCGCATATTYAATACAGCGGGTGTGGAATTAGGAAAAATTGTGGTTTGTTTAAATTCCATTAGTATACCTCTGCATATTGTATTGTTCTAGTTGTTTATGATACGTAGTGGAATCATGGAAAGATAATTAAGATGGGCTGGTCAGAYGTGGAAGAGCTGATATGTGTTCAAGATGATGCGCTGGTTTTCATCTTTGATATGTTTGGAAAAGAAAAGGAGTCATATAGTATGGGACAGGAGGCTAGCTTAACAAAGGTAAACATAATTAAATAATTTCGCAAGGCTTAATAAAATATTTAAAATATTTCAGATTGTAGATGCGAAAATATTTCAGTCCATTTCTGGAACCGGTGTGGCTGTGCTAACAACTACTGGCCGCATTTTCCTGAAACTAAATAATGCAAAAGATGTCCGCACACGACAGTTGCCAGAAATTCCAAGTAAGCCAACTTCATACAAATTATTACTGTATAAGTATTACCTACAATAATCAAATGTTTGCGAATATAGAATCGGCATCAGACTGCTTGTGTTGGGAAATAATCACAGAAGAACGCAATACTTACTGTCTCTTGGGACGTGATCAAGAAGTCGTTAAATTATTTCCCGGAGAATCCGTCGGCACTATTACGCGAAATCTTTTTGATCGACCTTTCGAACGTATTTTGCTCATGTCGGTTTCGTATAACCATCAAAATCTGGCTCTCTATACAAATAATGGCCTTTTATGGCTGGGTACGGTAGATATGAAGAGAAAATTTTGTGAATTCGATACCGGTCGCAAAGACGTTCCACGTCAAATCGAATGGGTTATGAACTCGGAAAAAAACGATGCCGACGCCGTGGTCATTTCGTATCCTTCTTTTTTACTTGTTGTGAATCGTAATGGCGATAGAAATCTGTTCACTTACGACCCAGCTATATTTCTAATTGCCGAAATGGATGGAGTGCGTATTATAACAAATAATGCTCATGAAATGATACAAAAGCTTCCAAAATGCGTGCAAAACATATTTGCTGTAAATAGCCAAGAACCTTCAAGCTTCCTTTTTGAGGCACAAAAGAAATACCAAGAAAAATCCCATCAGGCCGATGAATATCTCAGTCTGTTTCGCAACAAAATGGATGTGGCTGTTGACGAATGCATAGAGGCAGCCGGATATGAATTCTGTACAGAAACACAAAAAAGTTTGCTTCGGGTAGGTACTGTTTTAACATATGACCGGCTTGCTTGTTTTTTAAAAGTATTTCTTATTTATATACAATAGACGGCATATTTTGGAAAAGGGTTCATTCCCTGCCATAATCCCGATGAATATTTACACATACTTAGGATCCTGCGGGTGCTTAATGCTCTTCGACATGAAAAGATTGCAATGCCATTGACTTATAAACAGTAAGTTTCGTTTAGGTTTTATATCAACCTTACTTTATATTAAACGTATTTTGGATTTAGATTTTCTCATTTGCAACCGGAAATTGTAATGGGCCGCCTTGTATTTCGCAAGCACTACGCCATAGCAATTGAAATTGCAAAACATTTAAAATTGCCAGAGTCGTGGATTTTAGAGCACTGGGCATACCACAAAGTTATAAATGACAAAAGTACGTTGTTTAGAATTTTGTATTTATTTATTATATAGCGGGAAATAACAATATCATTACAGATGATAACGAGGTAGCACGAAAAATCACAGAAAAATTCAAAAATCCCTCGATACACGGAATCTCATTTTGCAATATCGCTGAGAAGGCGCATGATGTGGGGCGTGATGAATTGGCCATAAAGGTAAATTTCATAAACATTTCTTTGTTAACCATACTTACATTTCGGTTTATACTTTAGTTGCTTGAACTAGAACCCCGAGCATCGTTACAAGTACCACTATTGTTAAAATTGGGGAAATATGACCGTGCSATAAGAAGTGCCACTCAGTCAGGCGACAGTGAACTTGTTGCCACTGTGCTACTGGAAATCAAAAAGAAAATGATGCTKGCCAATTTCAATGTAATATACGAKCAACAGGTTTTATATCTGGAAATGTAATTATTTGCTGTTTTAGATTATCATTCGTGAGTACCCAATGGCTTTAAATATCTACAAAAAAATGATGAACGAATGGAGCCGAACTGCACTGTATGATATCTACAATCAGGAAGATGATCAAAAGTCTATTGCCGAGTACCATTTTCGTAATGCTCTCGAAAGCGACAGCTTAGAGTCAAATTTGCCAATTATCGCCAATAGTTATACACAAGGGCGCAAAAATATCGAGGCTGAATTATGCGCAGATACTGGCAAAATTTTAAAGTTGCAAAAGAATGTATTGAACCCGAAGTAAGAAGAGAAACCTTTACATTTGCTATATTATATATAGATAAACCACTAATTTCAGGTACGGCAAAGTACATCAAATCAATTTTAGCGGCCTCTCTATACATGACACCCTTCTGCAGCTGTTGCAAATTGGTGAATTGAAAGAGGCAGAAAAGATTAAAAGCGATTTCAAAGTGCCAGACAAACGTTTCTGGTGGCTGCGCATTTTAACCATGTCCGAAAAATACAAATGGGACGATTTGGAGAAATTTGCTAAAAGTAAAAAAAGTCCCATTGGGTATGAACCATTTGTGGAGGTGTGCATAATGCAAAATAATTTGCATGAGGCACGCAAATACATTATTAAGTGTCGTGATGACCGAAAGGCACATTGGTATTTACGTTCAGAGTAAGCAACCAAAATATTTCTTTTATTGCTACAATCTAATATAAACATTTTYATCTTATTTACAGACTATGGGACGAAGCCGCGGACAGTGCATTTGAAAATCGTGATATTAACACTTTATACACCATACAAAATAAAGTGAGTGCGATTGGTAATCGTGTGCTTTTGGAAAAAATCAGCTCACATATCGCTGTGTTGGCTTCGAAAAAATAAAAATCAAAAACCGATTCAATTCATATTCGTAAAATAAAATTGGCCGTTACGTGTTACTTTGACTTTTTCAAAGGGACATTTATTTTCCATATATGTATATTTATCGTATGTAGATATATACGTTAATATGTATGTAATTCTGTGTAGTTGCTTATGAAGGTATTTAGGTAATAGAATCACATAAAGCAAAAAGAAATATATTTATTTATATTTAACTAACACACTTGCTTTTTCATTTTTTAAATACATATGCATATTTGTATACTAAATATTCAATGTTAAGGACAATGTTTCACATAAATATACTGTTACTATATATCGTGTGATTAGTTATAGATATTTTTATGCTTTGTATAGATATTGTATTATAATTATAGATATATTTATATATGTTTTACGAACAAAACACAGCAGTCTTATATAAGATGAATTTATTTAAATGTTTTTAAATAGATCTCATGCGATATTTAAATTTGAATTTTTGCAGTGTATTGATTCCTCCTCTTCTTATATATTGATAATAAATAATTTAATAAAGCTAACATCTCAAATGTATTTTCGTATTTTCAAAACCGTTAAGAGATTGGGTTAACTAACAACAGAACATACATGTCGTTTGCTGTAACTTGCCCGATCACTCTTCAAAATAATATAACTGAACTGGTACAAATAAATTTTATTTATAATTCGGATTGGTAGCTAAAATTCAAGCCAAAATATTACAGAGCCCGGAAATCAGTGCACTTTATTTAAAAATAACTTTTTATGGTTAATTTTGAAGCATGTCATCTTTTTATTAAGAAAGATATACACATTAGAATTATTTGGGGTTTCGGATTATTCATTATTTATTTACTTACGCCTTTTTAGCCTTGAACACACTCATATTTTTATAGAAAAGCGATATTCATAWTGTATAATTTTTTTCTATACTGTTTATATATACAATCGCTACTTTTTTAGTTTTTATCTCACAATCTAATTTACATAATCATAATTATAGTATTACTTTTGATTTAAATTATATTTTTTATCAAGTTAAACTCTACTCTAACAGAAAGGGCTGCATAATATGTTAAGCTAAACTGGATACCCAAAATTGGCGCTCACTCAAATAAGCAGAAGCCAGTTGCTCTACCAACTGTCGATTATGTTAATAATTTTGCTAGGGATTATAYTTATGTATAAATTTTCTTCTTCAAAAGAAATAATTTCCTTTATTTATACACACATCATTTTTAAACAAATCTGTGAATTAACTTGTCTATTATTTGACTATTTACTAACTATGCTAACCACTATGTACAAAAAATATTATAATTACTATTTTCGAATTAAAAGTTAGTAACTAATTTACCTACAAGAATAGTGACTAGTTAAAGAGCATAAATAAAATTTCATATGTAAATTGCATTATATTTTGCTATAAGTATTAAAAACATAGTGAGTAAAAAATTGAGGAGAAAGAAAGCCTGGAAAAATTGAAGAAGTGGCTGCGCATTCCATACTAATACAGCGGGTGCACAAAGAAACTATGCGCTATAAACAACTCTCAACATTTATTCTCCTTTGAAACGTTTTCCTAATTCTGCACTTCTTCGCTACATTGCCAATGTATGTATGTGTAATATAGTATATACTTATTTATAATTTTGTTCTTTTGTTTTTTATGACGATGCATAAGTTAAGGATACTTGTTGAACTCCTTAAGAGATAATTTTTGGTACAGCGAGTTTAATTAGTTACGATAAATCGATAAATATAATATTTATATATGTATATTTGCTTATATATTTCTTCGATTGGTTTGAGTGACGCGGTGTGCAGTCAAAAGAAAAAAAATGAAGTATCCAAATATAACGAAAATAATGTCGAATTACTCTGAGATTTAGAAAGGAAATCTTTTCATACGCAATAATCAATTTCTTAATTTAATTTTCTGTTAAATTTTATAAAGTGTTGGAGAATATTGTTTAAGCTTTACCCAACTCTGTGTTGTATGAATAACTTGAAGTTTCTCCTGCTCTAAGCGAACATCCGTACCAGAACATTAGCAACAGTAAAAGTACGCAATTAACAATTTATTTTATTGCAATTACGACCAGTTTCAAATGCAGATTTTTTGATTTCAAGACGTGAAAGGCAAAGAAAGGAGAACAAAATAGGAAACTTAGTAACTGAGCTTTAAACAAAACAATTTAAATACAAAAACATATCAGACGGAACCAAAATATATGTTGAGAAATTTTCGTTTYATCTCCAAGCCCTCAGCAAAGATCTCCCACAACTCCCTCCCAGTGTGCTGCCTTTTGCCAAACTTTTCCATTTCTCTCCTTCGCTGTTGCCAATTTTTCAATTCAATAATATTTCTGATTATTGCATGTCGCCATTTTGCCTTTCCGCAGTCTTAATCATTTACATCACAGCCAAATATTCACGCTTAATTTACACGTACGTATRTATGCGTGTACGAATATTTTCATAATTGTGTACAATATRTAGTATATGTACATATGTATCTATTTTACGAAACATTCCAATCTAAGAAACGAAGCGTTCAATTTATTGTCCTCGGATACATTGCACTTTTATTATAGTTTTCACTCAATTGCTGCTGTATGGAGCAGAAGTCATCAATACCCACTACAGGAGCTATTCCCGGAACMGGGCTATTCGAACAGTGATTGACCATCAAACCACCGCCGGTAGCTGTATTATCATTTCTAATTGCATTTGTATTAGTATTATCGCCATTGGTATTGTCGCAGCTATTGCTGGTGGCATTATTACCGATCGAATGTTTATTGCCGGTTTTATTGTTGTTGCTGCTGCTGCTGCTAATGTTKCTGTTATTATTGTTAAATTGTGGTTTACCCGCACTGCCATGGTTGGCACGCAGGTTCGCCAAAAATCTCTGTTTGAACGTGTTTGCTGAGTATTTATGCTCGATGAAAGTTGGTGAAATTATGGGCGAAGTGCCGAAGATGGGCGCAACCGTATTACTATTTGCCGTCCCTACAGCATTCATTGGTGTGACAGTAACGCCGGCTGCAACAGTGGCCACCGGAGGTGCCCCGATGACTGCAGCAGAGATGCGACTATTGACTGTTGTGTTGTTGAYATTGGCGATCGACGAAGCAGTAGTGAGCAGTTGCCCATTGAATGGCATGCATGCGGAGTTGCTTGCTTTCATTTGTTCTATAAACAACAAAAGAGAAGGAGAGAGAAAAAGAATAGAAATAAAAGTAAACCAAAGATAAAAAGAAAAATAAATAAAAAAAAAAAAACATTTGACAGACAAAGACCAGAAAGGAGCATATACCATACATATGTATATACATAACTCTAGGAATGCGAGTATAGAAAGTGGGAGATTTTGTTTAGTCATAGAACTCGACATTTTTACGATTYTAATTTGCAATTATTAAACATAAATATTTTGATATTTGCAATTCGAAAACCCACAAATTCGTTGGTCCGTCGACCGGTAATAGCAACAACATAAGCAAATTTATGGATTTTAAAACGTTCAATGCAAAAGAAATTGCTTTAATTTAGAATTAAACATTAACACTAATACAAGTACAATAAAAAAATTAAATTAATATTAAATACAGAGTTTTTGTATAATACTGTTGACGTTTACACTAAATGATCATAACCTCAAAGGAGATCCTTAATTAAATAAAATTATAAGAAAAAAAATATTGAATATTTGACTATCCTAAGAATTTTGTTTAATATAAGTGTGTATGAATAATGCAGAGTCAGTTTTTTTATTAACAAAATATTCTCTAAAATGGAAAGTTTTTGAAATATTATGGAATGAAAATAATAAGTAACTTTTATTGTTTGATCTCAATCCTACATGCAGCAATTGTAAATTTTAGCAGCGCACAAAAAAGTGTGTGTCATATAGGGTATATATGTTAGCATTGGTACTAATTTTTTTAGATTCTGATGATACTAACAATGTATAATTTTTTGATACAAATTYTTCTTGAATTGTCGAAATTGTCGAGTAGTTGCTTTTAAAGTCGGTATTCGAGTATACTCCCTCTCTGTTGGATACACTAACTTCGAATTTATTTCAAATTGAAATCAGAAGTGGTCTTTACTCATTGTAAAACCTGGMGGTAAACAACACATTTAGCGAAATTAACTAACGTCTGTAGTTTACTATTCCAAAATCAAATAAAGCATGAACTTTACTTTATATGTGTAATTGGTATAGATTTTTTATATTTAATTTTTAATTTGAATAGGAGATCAGCAGTTATCAAAGCAATACAATATAGTGTTTAGAAAATCAGTATAAAATATACACAAAAAATGAGTACAAAATAATAACAATTAGCTACGTAAATTATTTATAAAGAGTAGTATTGCACGAACCAACTAAATTTACAAAATAATTTAAATTCTAAAATAAATCGCAGCAGTCTAAATTTACAAGGATACTTGAAGGTTGCCACTAACTAACGCTATATGTATATATTGTTATACATGTATATATGTATATACACAGATACATTTTATAAACAGAAATAGTAAATATATCATTTTTAATAATTTCAAAGCATTCTTTCGTTATACCATATATATATTTGTTCGAGTGCGAGTACAAGCATTGCAGAATATTAAATACACCGACACTTAATTGCAACAGTGTATTTCATTTTTATAGGTTATGTATGAGATTTATATCGTATGTACTTGCGATATTTCTTCGTTAAATAAATGCTGTATAATTTCGAATTTTGGGAATTATTTCGTTAGGAACCTTCCCTATTCACAGTGGTTTCAAAAAAAAAAAAAACAAAGAGGGGAAGTATATTTGCTAATGTTATTTTAGTGGTGCACCAGGAGACTGCAATCACATTCATATTCAAAACACAGAATTTCACTTGGTTCAATAAATTGTGGTATCTACCAACTCCAATATTGTTGTCGATTGCAGATAATAAGAAAATATCGCTCCACTAATCTAATCTTCCTTTCAATTTAAGACAATCAGATTAAAAAACGACAGAACCGAAAAAATTTTCGCCTAAGTGAATACAAACTATAAGGAGTCGGCGGATGTTGCACTTCTGTAAACAATATTATGCATTTAGTTCTCTAAGTGCTTCCACGTACTCACAATGATTTTAAGAATACGTCTGGTTCCGCAAACTAAAAAATTTTGCTCTGAAAAGTCGCAGCTTTAACTCTTTTAAGGAACTGACAAATATTTTTGGAATATGCTGGCGTGCTGGTATGTTAGAGAAAATATTTCTCTGCAATGACAGACAACAGCCATTTACTTAGGTAAGCTGTGTGCCTATATAAGCCAATACACCAAATATGGTTAGCCTTTTCATTAGCTTTGTGCAAATGTAAGTTTTTTTCTAATTTACTAAGAAATGAATATTCCCCATCTATTTTATTTAAATTCACGTCGCATTAGTAGTGTCTTTAGTATAGGCTACGTTTCATCGTTGAGAACGCCTACCACTGCGTCAGCAGAAGCAGAAGCAGCAGCAACAATCGCGTTCGCCATGCCTGCAACACCAGCGCCAGCAACAACACCATTACCCACTGTAGCAGCAGCAACACCGACACCATTGGCATTAGCAACATTTGTCATAGTGCCATTGCTGTTATTCATATTTATATTGGCATTTGATGAAGATGTGGACGTTGATGTTGATGTGGACACACCCGACAGGTGAATGCTACCAATTATGTGAGGCGTTTTCTTGTGTTGCTGTTGTTGCTGATGATGATGCAACAGCGTGCCAGTCGACAAGGAAATGCTCTTTTGTTGATGTTGCTGTTGTTGTTGTTGTTGTTGGATAAGTGTCGGCCCACTGGGACTGATAGGTGTCAAAGGAAGATTATGGGTAGTMTGTGTCTGTTGTAGCTGTTGTTGTTGTTGTGTAAATGTCAGCGTCTGTATGGGTGTTTTTGTGGGCGACGTAGCTGGTGTGAGAATGCCTAAATTAACAAGATTCGGCAGCGCAATTTTGGATGTTGTAGATTGTTGCTGCTTCGATTGTACTTTATCAACGATTGCCTGCAGTTTGTGCTGCTGCTGTGCAATGATATCAGCTGAACCAACAGCATTAGCTGCGGCTGCAGCTGCTGCAGCCTGAGCCGCTGCATTTGTGGCCAATTTCAGAATCTTACTGGCCGTTGCGTTAGCGGCCAACAAGTTGGTAGCTGCAGTCGCAGTTTTGGTTGCTGTTGGCGTTGCCAGTAGGCCGCTGCCATTAATGCCAGTAGTGTTGCCACTGCTACTGCTGCGCACTAAATTGTTATTGTTACCTGATGATGCGGTTGCCGACGATCCAATACTTTGTAATTGTGGTTGCTGCTGACTGCTGAACTGATGTTGCTGCTGCTGCGATTGGTGATGTTGGTGATGATGTAAGTTGAGACCAACACCATTTGTGGTGGCAACAACATTCGGACTTCCATTGCCAAGTGTACCGTTCGTCAATTGCTGCAGCACATTAGTTGTGACAACAGAACTAGTTGAGTTGCTGCCACCGTTATTACTACCAGCRGAATTACTGTTGSCGTTGTAAGTGTTGCCGCTGGCACTGCCATGACAGCTACTGGCGCTACTCGACATATTGCTGATACTGGATGGACTGAGTGAACCYAACGATTGTGAGGGCGAGCTGCTGCGTTGCAAAATGTTGCCTGACGCATTGACGCTTGTGCCGTTGCTGGTGGTTGTTATATTAGCTACATGTTGTGCGCTCAAGACGCTCTCTGGCGATGAATTGTGTGACACCAGCGCATGGTTCTTCAAGCCTTGAGCAGTTTTGTAGCTTTTACCGCAGTGACACTTGTAGCCTTTGCGGACTCTGAAACAATAAATATTCAATTAATTATATCCAGCAATTATACACAAGTTTTATTAATAGAAGACGCCTACATGAATATCCTAACTGTGTTATAATAACCTCCTACCGTACCGCGTACCTATACGTAATTTATGATTTCCTTGCTTTCATTTTGCATCTTTAACAAAGTGTTTTTTTTTTTTTTTTTGAACCGCTTTCGGTCTCATAATTAACTTTCAATTAAGTGCAATTAAATGGATCACAGAAAGAAGGATCTGTGTGGTGTCAAAAGTCTCAAATAGGTGGAAGATYTTCTAATAAGATTAATGCATATGCATAACTAATAGGTTGCACATTCTTTTCAGCAATGAAAGGGGCGCCGTCTCTCCTACGCAAATCRTAACAATTTTCGGGCATTTTGACTTTAAAGCTTTAATTTTCGAAGCAAAAGGTATTTTAAATTTACCTTATWACCTTACCTGATCTACCTTATAAATCGAATGAAAAATWACGAAAATTATGGTTCGTTTTGTTAGAGGTTCCGTTTCTCATTCTCTTGAAATAGAGCTAAGATAAAGGATCTAGTTATTTTAAAATAATTTAGCCGATACCTAACTATTGTTTGCAGTGAAAGTACATAAACTATTTTTACATTATTGCTACGGAAAATTAGATAGGAATGGTATTACATGCTTTAGACACTCACTTCCCGTCCTTTTTGTGGCCATTCTTCGAGTGATACTTGATGCCGTTGACGTTCTTGTAACGCTTTTTACAACCAGGCACGGGACACGCAAACGGTTTCTCATTGCCTGGTGTGCCATTACTGCCGGTACCGGAATGCCTTCACAAATATATATATTTAAATTTCAATGTTCATTTTTCTTACAAAAAGTTTTGTTGAGCAATCACCTGCTCCCGTAACGCATTATGAACTCGGAGCTGAATTCTTCGGTTGTCCAAGAATCATTGCTATCCTCTGACTCCGAAACAACCATTTCGTCATCGTCCATTTCACTGCCTATAAATGTTAGCAAAAATTTAAATTTTGAAAACAAACGTTCATATTAGTTAAAAAAAAATGGCGTAGAATAAACAAATGTCTTGCGGTACAGTGCGAATACAGCTTCTTGTCTACACTGATTCGCTTTCTCACCAGTGGGCGTATTGCTGCGATTTGACGACGACATACTGTAACTGTGATGTTTGATCGCCAGCTTCCGTTTGAGTTCAACGCCCGACGTGTTGGCGGATAGGAACGGACTCTCCTTACGTGCATCTTCCGATATGAAGCGCAGTACATAGCTCAGCGGTAAGCATGCAGGCTGCGCCTGCTCTTTCTGTTCAACCACTTTAGGATCATAATCTGGAAATAAAAAATATAAAGAATTATTTTAATTATTACCCATTCCGAAGCAATAATCTTATTAAACATGTGTATTTAATAAACGATATTCTGAATAAAAACTCCTATTGATGCGTCGTGCAAACCACTTTTGGTCTCTTTCTAGCCAAATTTAGTATTTGAAAAATTTTATTGATGCATGGCACAATTTTCGCAAACTTCTATTCCGATAAAGTTGTTATTCTATATGACAAATTATTACCAAGTATTTATGGTGCAGAATAATTCATGACCATAAATCTGAACGAATTATTCAAATTCCGAAACGTCATGTTTCAATATACATATTTTATTTTTAYTTAAGGTGAAGAATATTTTATGGTAATTCAGAATTGTGTATGTGCATCAACATTATAATATGAAAAAAATCTTTTGCAATATTTAATGAATTAGTAAGATTTCAAATTGTTGCTGCCTATAAATGAACGACATTCATTTCTATAGAAAGGGTGCATTGAATGAATTAAGCACAGTGAAATTTGAGAAACCTGATTTAAACAAGTTGCAATGAGCACTTAAATTACATATTGTCCAAAATATATTCATAAATGATTTTACTCGCAGTATGAGGTTAGGATAATGCTGACCCAGACAAGAAAAACGTTAACTTCGGTTACACGGAAGATGTAATACCCTTCACAAATAAAATAGTTTCGAAGATAGTTGATTTGAAGTTTGAAAAATTGGCCCTGCAATAATTTGTGCCACTTTACTGGACAATTCGAACATGATAACTTCTCGATTTAAAAAGTTTCCTATGCAAGAACTTCATTTTGATCGATCAGTTCATATAACATCTATACCCTATAGTAGCCCGATATCAGCATATCCGACAAATGAGATTTAAACTCACTAGGACTTGTTCAAAATTTCAAAGCGATATCTAAAAAAACTGAGAGACTGGATCGCATATATACAGGCAGACAAACGGACGGACATGGGATCAATAATAATTTTTTGTGTTAACCAATGTCAAATTCGATTAGTGTAGTGCATTTATGCGCGAGGAATAATGTTAGAGTAGTATTGAGGTATTAAAAATATAATATAAATGCATAGCTGTCCGATCAGAAGAAGCCGAACTTAAAACATTTAATATACATATATAGATTCTAYAGGTTGCAGGTTCTCCAAAAGGATATCGGCAGAATACAGACGCGCTAATAGGTTATAGAATATCACATGTTTGGTGAAACCACAGTAAACAGCTTTAAAATAATGAGTCTGTATTACAATATTCCTTACCATCGGCCAGTCAGTCATGAATTGTTCTGAACAAATTTATAATTAGGCCTGTATACTTTCAATCAATGAATAGCGAAATCGCTGAAGCCAAACATATGGCACTAACCGTCTCTTTGCACGCYCACTTAAACCAACCTATGGAACACCCCATTCCCGCAAGACTTATTTGCCACCAAATAGGGCTTAGTAATGACTATATCAACAATCGGGGAAGTTTCAAGAAGGCTTAGATAGTCGACATCTACTGTGGAAGCCTCCACAATAGTTGAAAAATAGAAAGACAAAATTTAAGTTCAATGGTTATTTGAATTATAATGCTGTTGTTGTTGGCAGAAAACATCACATCCGTTCCGGTTGCGTAGACCCGACTGTCTTCTAAACGGCATCTAATGTACTACAGCGGAAGTAAAATTCAGTAAACCCATTTGCTAAGTKGACTGGGTGGACGTACGACTTTACCCATTTGGAATGATGAAATCTAGACGGTTTAACAACCCAGAGCACTTCAAGGTAATCGGACATATGCATATAGTATGCTTTCTTTGATTTTATATCAGCACTTTTGCATCAATTATAGAGCAAATGTAATATAAATAAATTTATGTTTAGATATTAATATATATACTTTTCGACAGTAATACTGTTTCTACCAAAGAAAACTTAGAAAATGCAAATGCCTTAGTCGTCAAAATATCATAATTTTTAAACATAATTACAGATTTGATAAAATGAATGTATGCACATACGAAATTCTATAACATGTAAATTTATACAAAGCACCTACCTATCTACTTATGTATATGTATATGGTAAAATAAATACATATATACAAACCCATGCTTTCATATATAAATGCCAAATACATAAACATGTACAATTGAACATAATGTACGAAAGTTCTTCACAAAAGTCACCCTTAAACAATGACACCACCGCTAAGATTACATTACCTTCTCGGATTGATATCATTTCACGGTGTTTTATATATATAGTGGCCGAGTTCAAATTATATGATACTTTGATGAATAGAAAAGTCTTCTACCACTATATATAATTATTGGAGCTTTCACCAATTCTGCGGTGAATGCGTTTTCCATCGAAGTATACATATACATTTGATCATGGAGATGGCAGTAAGTATTTGACGGTCTGTACGACATTATTACATGCTAGGCGGTTGTTCATGAATTGTTCWGAACTCATTCACCTTAATTGCAAATTAGACAAAATACTCTAGGTGTATTTCAACACGAAACACAAGAATCCGTCGAATGTCATATGCCATACATATAGGGTTTTCACAAAATCAAATCAAAAAAGGTTGAGAAGGTCAAAATTTTTTAAATACAAATAAATAATATAATTTTGACAAAAAAAGGCATTCAAGTGTCAATCCATAAATGCTACCTGTTCAAGAAATATGGCCATCCCGGATAACGATCAAGATATGGATGGTACATACTTACATATTATATTTTGAAAATGTAGCAGTCCCCTTTAATAACACCTTAAGCCCAAGATAAATGCAAACACACATATGCAAACAAAAGAACACCCTTTTTATTATTAGTGCTTCCCTTGTTTCACAATTCATTTAATTAATATTTCGGATCCGGTGGCTTATGGCCGAGGTAGTCCTAAATAGCGAGCTTATATATGAATATATAAACTTATGTATAGATATGTCTGTTATTTTCTATCTGATTCTGAATGAATGAAAGTGGCATAACTCACCACCACTTCCCACGCACCACAAGGAGGGAAACTGAACTGAATCACTATCTAATCATCATACTAACAACTGCTATATCGATTTTGCACCGGTAACGTTAACTTAATGGCAAGCAGCTGACCGTGACGTTAAGGTAAACGTCGACTTTGACGTCGCCATAACTCATCAATTTCAAATTCACCATACCAACACATCATTAATATACATGATAATATCAATAAAGTAAACAAATACTGACCGCCTATAAACTTAAAACCGTTCAGTTAAATTTTTTCGTTTTTCTTCAATTAACAATCACGAGACCAACACCATCATATTGTACTATGCATATTTACATACATATTTGAAGACTTTAAATTTAAAGTATATCAAAGGCACTAAAAGTCCCTACTCACCGATATGCGTGTCCTCAATATGTTGTATTAAATCTCCTAAACTAGGAAATGTTATACCGCAGCCATTAAATTTGCAGATGTTTATTAAGAACACGGCCATATCCCGACCGATTTGACCGATGAATATAAATGTCGCTCGCTAAGCAGCTCTGCTCTGCCCTGCTCTTCCGCTTGCTGATGGGTTGTTTGTTGGCTCTGTTTAACAGCTGGTGCATACAATCAATCAGATAAACACAGCGAAACGCTCATTCAACGGCACGGCTTATTCAACTTCAGAGCAATTTCCTCCGTGGAAAGCAAATAATACAAATATTGCACACACACACGAGCGAGAACGCCGATATTCCAAAAACRCGAATTAATGCAACGCACCTGCTCACTCGTTCACCCTTTTCGTTGCGTACAATAGTTCAGTTATTTTTCACCACACAATATTTACTTGCACTCCTTCACTCTCTTGCACACACTTGATAGCTTAATATTCACTCGTCACACCACACTTTCTATACTGTTCACTCTCATGATCACCGAATTGATTGATGCAATACTGATGGGTTACGTTCGTAAATATTTTTCCCGATTAATTTTTATAACAAAAATACCTGATTTATACTTTGCATAAAATTTCAATTCTTAAATATTTAACTAAGTATGTCTGTCGGGATATGATTTATACATCCCACTCCAATTCTTTCGTTCACTTTTTTCCATCAACGCTGTCTGCGTGGACTATTTCTTGACCAACCAACCAAGTGCGGTAGCTGCAACGACGACTGCATCGATTGTTGTTGGGTATGATAGGGTGGTGAATAAATTGAAGTTGTTTATTCAAGTATACTACTGTGTATTGGCTTTGTTTTGAGGTTCAGGTTGCTGATGGTTGTTTATCTTACAGTCATTTCGTCTTGACACTTTACTTTGGTATTATTTACCAATTATTTATATAGTACGGATGAATATTTCAAAACGATTGTGATCTAACTGCTTTATTTTCCGTTGTCAACAATCTTTTCCCTCGATAGTGAATAAGAACGAGGAAAACTCTATTTACAACCTGTCATTTATGCCGGTGGGAACTGACAAACCGTTTCAATATGCGCTAGATTATAAAATTGTATGAGTCGGATAATTATATAGTGTATACACTAGACATTAATTAGGACAGTTATTGTCGATTCGCATATATGTAGTTAGTCATTATGTAGTCGCATGCCTTTGTAACTAAAAGCATATACGCCAAAAAATTAACTGTTGTGTGTTATTAAACACAATTTATCTGTATAAAACGACAGAAATAGAATACTTCAAGTGTATATGTAATATTAAACTTCTATTTTAGAGCGTACTTAATACTCATACAAAAAGTCATACTCTTTAATGCTCATGTCCTCCGTAAATATACACCACTGCGTTCATAATTTTTTTGGACGGATTTCAATATCGACGTTTACCTATTAATTTAGGTAGCTTACTTCTCCCTTTACTTTTAATAMATCTGCTCCATTCTTGCTTCAGTTTACGCCATTCAACACAATTTACAAGCTTTCTTGCCTTTTATATTTCCACCACTGCTGCAGCGTATTCACCAATACACAAACACCCACTGTAACGCACATATATACGATTGGTGTTATGCAATTTGGGGCCGTCGTTAAGTCGAATTAAAACAAGCCATTAAGAAATACTAAATTTTCGTAAAGGCTCAATTAAGTTTTCACAAAAATTTTTGGGATTGTTTGTTCTTCTACTATTCTTGACCAACTTTTGCACAATAAACTACCCGCTTTTGTCCAGTTTAGTTACAGCATTTTGCTGCAGCTGCTACTTATCGCTGTTTTCTGTTTTTAATTAAAAACATATTTGGTCTGGTATATGAATCGTAGCGAGCCGACGACGTTATGCACGGCGTACGTTCGACCCTCTGTGCTCGCGGTTCAAACGAAACAATTTGCTGCTTGCGTTGCTGTTTCGATTTGATGCTGCTCAGCAGAGAACGTCAACGACGACGGTAGGCGAGATAGGGRAAACAAATATGTACCTACAAAAGTTCTCCTATAAGCTGTCATAATAACCACTAGTTTTCACATCGCTCTTGTGCTTTCGGTAAGTTGCTTTGTTATTTAACGATTCTGTGGTACGTTGGCCGTTTTAGTAGTAGAATATATGTAAGTAGGCAACCCGTACCGAATGCCTATTTTTGCTGTTACTTTGTGTATGGTTAGTGAAAAATTCAGCATTGGCTACTGTGTATATAAACTGTGGTACCGAAAAGCGTTGGGAAAGTACGAACAAAGTGTGTTGAGTGGATGCGTTTTGTAAAATTTTATTAAAACGTTATGTAAAAACAAATCAAGTCATGCGCCTGTTTGATTCACACCATGATTCAATCATATAAGGTTGCGTCGGTTGCCCAAAATGTCAAAATCAGCATTTTTCCATCAGTGACGACATAATATTTTAAAATTGAAACATAGTTCAGACCAAAGACTTTATTTGATTTTTGAGTTTCGTTTGAAATAAAATTTCTTGAACCCYTTCAATAAAAATCATAGGTTATTAACAATACTATAAAACTGAATACATTGTATATACAAGAATACTATACTGCGATGATTATCTTTGTGGTGGTGGTGCTAACCCAAATTTAGTCTAATTAGCGTTTTTTGATGACGAAACACATTTTTTAAAACTTGAAACTTATTTTACAATCCAAAATATAATTTCTATTTTTTAAATTGAAATTTATTTCAGCGTCTCTGTTAGAACAAACTGCAGGACTAAACGAATAGAATAGGATATTACTACGTGATAATTGTGTTTTGGTACTATTGTACGAAACTCATATTTGGTTTTAGTAAACCAATCAGAACATATGTATATAATAGAGAAGGTTCATGGTGCGCCCACCAACAAAATTGGTTACTTTTAAGCGATGAGCTTGTTTCATCATTTTGTTTGTGCACATTTTAAGCTTAAACTAAGGAACTCAGGGCCAGGGGCCAGAACTGGATCGGAAAAATGTTTAGTTAAGTTCTGGTAAACTTTTAAGTCTTGGTTAGTTTCTAATCAGAATACGAAATTGCAGCTGTCAGCTGTAAAATCTGTAACTATAGACAGAGTTCGTATGGATCTCTTTTGTCTCTCGTTTGCATTCATATATGCATATTACATACAAAAAATGAATTTGAAATTTAAATGTTATAAATTTCCGAATGTAATTAAATATTGCTTGGAGATCGTGCGCTGTTGCAACCACGAAAGAAACTTTGGAATAAAAGGGCATTTCGAATTAAGTAGCAGCTAGGTGTTGCGGARCAGAACACAATCTCTTTGTCTTTAAAACCGTCTTTCGTCTTAAAAATAAGATTAACCAGACATTGTGAAAACGGTCCTAAAAAAGGTTCTTTACCGAAAGAACGAGTCTTGGTTAAGTTRCCCAGAACTTATCTGACAGATGACTGCTAACTAGACATTGAGACAACGTCCCTTAAAGTGGTGTAACCGATATCTTAAAGTTTTGTCATGCATATTTAAGATTTTTTTATTGTGAAGTGACAGATGAAAATACAATTTTTTATTTTTTCTTTAATTTTAAAATTTTTGGGTTGACAATTCATACTTAAACAAACATATYCAAACAACAGAATCCTTGCACGGCTGTTACTTGACAAAGCGTAAATAGATGCGAGTTATCCGACAATTTGCTTCGCTTTGTCGCGTTTTGCTTCGATGTGAACGAACTCATCCAAAAGCATACAAAGTAATTGCCTGATGCAAAGCGAAGCGAGGGTTTTATATAAATCAGCCATAGTCTTTTATGCAGGTTTGCACCTCAAGTGCTGCAATTACAACAGCATTGTCGACTCTAAGTTTTATCGATAATAATCGAAAAGTTGACCTGGGACCTACCTATCAGGTAACACTAATGCCACTTCGTCATTTCCACATTGCCTTATTCTGGAAATAAATATTATCTGCACCGAAAGCAATTTTTATTGCTTGAGATAAACAATATAGGTTAATTTTTTTTACTTCTTTAAATTACACAAAAATCTTAGTTTTAATGATTTCAATTCTTACAGGGCAATTACAATATGTGCACCGYTAGAATATTGTCAGCAGATCGTAATTTTTTGATATTTCTTAAGTAGAATACGCAGAATGGTTAAGTAAAATTGTTACTCTATGTCAATTTCATGCACGTTAACTACTGGTTAAGTTTTCCGTTAAAGAAAGCGCTACCAGTTATTCCATTGAAGTTCTTTAAGACRCCACTTCACAAAACTCTTATGCACTGCTATCTGTACGATTGTAACGATCTTACGAAGGTTTCGATTGGAGTTGCCTAATGTGATTAAACGTAAATATATGTTAATATCGATKCTAATGATTATATTGCATTATAATTTCGGGTAGGTCTGACTTCTTGAGTACATACTCATATTTATATATTTGCAATCAATTTATATAATAGCGTTTGACTTAATTTTGATTAATTAGAATAAAGTCTATTTTATCAAAACAGTGCTTTTGCTTTTCTAAAATTACTCTTTCCTCACGATGGACAACATCGTAATTTGTAAAACCTCCAAAATGTCTCAAAATTTTCGAATTCACCATGGCTTATTTTATTTCACCGTTGCCAATCGGATGCATAATTTGTTCGAAAAATTATATTTTCCTAAGGTAATAAATAATTATCGCAATGATTATTTTGTTGAAAATATACATAATGATGAAAAAAGTGTTGCTTTTTCGTAACGATTTTGTTGTAAAATATATTTATTTATATAAATTACGTATGTGAAACTTTAGTATCATATCGATGTTTATTTGTTTAAACATTTATTGAATTGTTGGAATAATTTTTATGTTATATCCAGAGTGACAATTTGTCAATCCTAACATTCAGGTCACTGAGGACAAAGAGAACAACTCTAGACAATGTAATTTTAAGATGATCTTTCCTAAACGTGAGGATATTTGACAGYGTAAACGAGTTTTCAGTTTGACAGTTTGGCTCAATGTGGTAATTCAATTTATGTAATAGTACCACATCCAACATCACTTTGAATTTCACCACGCGAAGGGAAGAAACTAAAATCGTTCATTCGCCATTCAATTTGAAAGTCAACCACTGTTGTAAGGGTTTGTTCGAAGTGAGTATACATAAAAATTTAGCATCTCCTCAATCTCTGGAGATAGATTTTTGATATTCTGCTTCCTCCGATTGATTGAGTAATCATTGATATGTAGTGAAATAAAAGTGTTTTCTAATTGTAAATTTGGATACAGAACATTAGTACAAACAAAATTATTAGTAGAACTAAGTGTTTTATATCAAATATTAGCGGTTATAATTATTAAATGTGCATAGATTTTGTGAAAAGAAATGTGATTTTTCCCGGTTGCGGCTCCGCCATCTTAAAAGTGTGGATGTGTGRAAAATGTCTATCATAGGGAAACGGGTTGGAATAAAAATGAAACGAAACAACACGATTACGAACGTCAACGAATAGCAGCGGTGAATTTGTCAGTGGAAGAAGACCATTGAAACGTTACGAAAGCAATTTTGTGGCTCTATCAAGACTTTAGATAAATTGTAAAATAATAATGCATTTTATTGTAAAATATACAAAACATTTTTAATAGAAAGCTTTTTCTATTTTTGGAATTAAAATTTTATTTCAATTTGCATAAAGTTACGTTCTTGACAGATGGTTCAAGTTACGTAACTGAGCAGCTGTAGTGGTTTAGTTGGGCGAAAGAAATAAAAAATTGTCAACTCATTTAATCATTAAAGAGTATCAATTTCTAACTATAAACTAATTTTACTATTTTCTTTTACAGAGCACTGTGCGTTAGCTTAAATTTCTGGTTGATCCACGTAGCATCATCAAATTAATATATACAAAATGTTCGTGTCAACAGTCTCCCGTATTGCCCCCGTCGCCAGGACCGCTGTAAGTTTTAATCTTATTACGATTGGTTTTTTTTAGTTTAGTAAAAGAAAGGAAGTATACGAATAAAGTATATTAAATATCTAATATWTTATATTACATAAGGTGCAAATTAGAAATCGATTTTTCTTTTTTAATCAGTGTGATACGGTGTGGTGAATTTACTTCGCGGTGAAATGTTACATAAGAATAATTGAGGTTAGGTTATTGCGGTGTTGCAGCCTTTTAAAATTGTAGTTAATGCAAAATAGCTTAAATTGTAAAATATATATAAACATAGAATATCTTATTGAATAATTCGGAGATTATCCGTTGCCTTATGTTTATCTCGGTCTTGTGACAGCAGAATTTTATTTGTATTGTAGAACAACATGCTTTATTGTATAACTAAGAATGCCTGGTTGCTATTGAGGTTAGAACAAATTACTGCTATGCAGAAAACGAATTGCCTACTAAACAAATTAGATATGTATGAACTCATTTTGATACAATAYCCATTCCCGTTAAAATTTTTTTTAAATATATTGTTAACAGAGCATATAGTTTTATTCAAAGGCAATATTAATTTTTAACAAAGTTTTTTTTTTTTTGTTATTTGCAGCTAACATGCTAATCTTGCATAATTATTTGTGGAGCATGTATATATTATATAATAAATAGATAACTAATCGTTGAATACAAGATATACAAATCTATTTGAAAACAGTAATATATATCAACATAGCAAAGAAACAAGCGTAATATGCTAMATATTATGTATATATGTACATATAAAGAAATTAGTGTAAATATTTATTTTTGTTGGTTTTGAATAAATTAAAAGGACGATGCTTGTAATATAATACATTTTTATTAGTTCTTCTTTTTTTTATATGATTTCTTATTTCCTTCTTTACAGCTCCTTAACGGTTCAAAGCAATACTTGCGACCATTGAGCAGCGCTGTGATTAGCCAGAGCCAATCCTTGGCAGCTCAGAACACAACGCCCGTTGCTTTACTGCCACAAATTAGGTCATTCCAGACCTCTCCAGTCACTCGTGACATCGATTCTGCTGCCAAATTCATTGGTGCTGGTGCTGCAACAGTCGGTGTTGCCGGTTCTGGTTAGTATTGGAAGAGTAAACATTTTAACCTTACATAAGTAGCGAAAGAAATTTGTAGCATTCGCATTGTTATTGTAAATAACATTTTTTTTTCATCAGTCAGTTACAATCTAGCATCTGGGGCACACATACGAGTATTTTCGACCGATATCTTCTACAACTTTTAACTAAAAAGTATGTAGTTGAATTGGAAGAATGTTAATTACTCTAATATAGCCTCGGGAAGGTCTGAGAGTTGGTCAAAGTTCAAATTAAAACATGCTGTGGTGCGTGTGAACTTAAACCGATGTATTTTCTAGCAGGAAACTTGTATGATTAAGAGGCAAAGGAACAAGAAAGTATGAATGTCCATCGAGCTTACGGGTTAGTTGAGCATTCATTGAAATCCTTTGTGACCAGCAATTTTAGTGCGATGTGCTTGCTGCATTCTATGCAGAACTCAATTCAGACTAATCTGTTACTGACTGCATTTATAACAAATATTAATACCAATATTGCGTCTACAACTTTCTTTCGCTTGAATTGGTAAACAAAATTCTGTTTAACAAATTGTTTTTAACAATTTTTTTTTATTGCCAAACTTCCAATATGAACAGGTGCTGGTATCGGAACAGTGTTCGGTTCCCTCATCATTGGTTATGCCAGAAATCCATCGTTGAAACAACAGTTGTTCTCATATGCCATCTTGGGTTTCGCCTTGTCTGAAGCTATGGGTCTTTTCTGTCTTATGATGGCCTTCTTGCTGCTCTTCGCTTTCTAAAGTGTATGTCATTGAAAGTTTATAAACAACAGTAATAGCAGTAACATCAGCTACACCATTTATTGTTTTTAAAAAACATCCAAGAATAAAAACACGTTTATTTAAGTTTAAAACGAAAATAAAAATACTATGATAAAAAATTACAAATGTGCAGAATACGTTAAATCCAAGCGAAAAACCACCCTAACCGAACAGAAGGAATAGCAGCAAGTATTTTGCGAACGAAATGAAAAAAGTTAAGCGCCGAATCGAAAACAGTCGGTAAACAGATCGAAACACCAGCTAGGGCATTCGTTATTGATCCCGTATTATTTTAGCGATATGAACATTTCAATGAAAATCACATACGAATATCTAAGTCTGCAGCCATTAGAAGTATAAATTGAATGGTATCCTGAAGCAAGAAGTTGCTATTAGTGGTTCACAACACTATAGATTTAGTTTCAAAGCCATGATTTAGGGTCGTGTTTACCCTGTTAGCGCTCTCGTTAAAAACTAGGAATGCAGGTAACAACCGATGCAATCATGGAATAAAATACCATTAATTACTATGTGGAAGTTGGGTTTTCTGTATGTGATTTTAATTGACGCTAAAATATATTTCCTACTCAACTGGATTTGAGAAGTTGTTTGTGCATTCTTTTATGTATACGTTGTTGCAACGCATTTCTTAAATAATTGTATCTACAAATAAAAGAATTGAGTCCTTATTATGATAATGCCGATAAAAATTTATTTGCATACGAATTGTAACAAAGTAGATGCTGAATAAAAAGATGGAATTAATGACTGGAGAAAAATTTCGTTTCATTTAATAAGTATGGCAGTTGTAAAAACATAATTTTATGACTTTAATCGTTAGATGTAAGACTCAGTAGTCTTACGCGAGCAATGAATTCGTCCTTCGATTACTTTACGAGTCGGGGACGCATAGCAGAATGAAACAACTTTATGAAACAAAACCGATAAATAGTTGTAGTGCTAAAGGGGCTATACCAGTGAATTTTTGTAAGAGAAGTCCGAGGTTGAATATTTCGAACTTCATTGAAAGTAATAAGGTACATATATTTTCAGCTATTTTATATTTTAAGATTTTTAGTTAAAAAAAATGTTAAAAAATAACGGGGTTATGGGCTGTCTTCGGAGGTGCCAAAAAAAAAAAAGTGCCCCAACTGCTGGCATGATTCCGACCGAATGAGTAGCTGAAACAAAAAAATTTTAAATGTTTATTAAACTTAAAGATATTTCCTATACAATGACCTACGATCTTCGAAAATTATCAAAAATTAACAAAATGGTATAAATTTGAAAGAAAAAAAATGTTTTTTTTTTTAATACCAAATTGATAATTTTCAACCAATCTAAAATATCGTAGGTCATTGTATAGTAAATGTATGCAAAAATACTCAGTTTCAGATCGGTTAATTTCTCGTTGAGTTATAACGCCAGCAATTTTGAAAAATGTCGTTTCCAGAAAAACGCGTTTAAAGTTTCACTTATATATGGTTACACCTCSGAGCAGTTGCTATTTCSAACGCTGCCATCCAAAAACTATTCAAAATACGACCTTCCCGATTTCACAGGATATTTACGAAAATACCTATTATATTATTCAAAAACATGAARCACATGATGTTAGAGTACATATTTCATTTTCATCGTTCTTAAGATATCATGAGAAATTAAATCGGAAAGSTTTATATCCGACCAAGGGCACATTGGAAATTCGAAACCCCTTGGCTCAAAATTAGAAATCTAAATGATTAGTTCTATACCATATACATATGTATGTGTATTCAAATTTCCATTCTTGAACATTACTGAAAACAATATGTGTAATGTCWGAATATACAAAAAATCCATCYTGTTAACACAATAGCTCAAATTAATGTTGTAGTGGTGTAATGTCTAATAACCGCTTCGGTGGTAAGGTTCTGGTTTGTTTTGATTGAAGTCAACAAACGAAAGTCCCAAGAAAGTGGKGTTTCAACGGGGTCGCACCATAGGGAGGTGTTCGATGGATGGGATTCAGAGGAGGTTAGAGTCTTGTGGGGACTCTTTGCAAGCAGGAAATATATTAGTATTTTTTGTCAAATGGATAGAGGTRTTCGGTCAAAGTTATTTACGTTCCCTAAAATTAAGGAAAGTGAGGTGAAAAAAAGCAAAATTACTCAGGCTATTTTGTGAGCGATTATTTATAGAAGAGGAGGTTAATAGCTCAACTCCATACGTGCAATGCACACAATTCAATTGTGAGTTCTGTAGTTCACAAATAAAAAGCCCTAGATATGTATGTATATGTGAAGACCTAAAACTATTATTCATAACGTTTGATGTTTCTACGATTTATGGACTTTTTATATATTTATAAAAAAAACAGTTTAGACCATTTAGTATATTGGTAATCGAATCAACCGAATACGTTACCTTATTTACTTTAAAAACTAGGTGGCATCTCATATGGTAAAACGTATAAATATGAACTCATTATTTGAAGTTGTCAGCATCGTAGGGGTTGTCAATTTGGAATATTAGTGCACGTGTGGGGTTTGTTGTTAATATTTAATTATAAAAGTTACTTTAACTTCATAAATAAAAATGAAGAGGAAAACACAACTAGAAGCTGAAACGGATTCCGAATATTATTCGGATGATAATTCAGACGAAGAGGTGAGTGGTAGATAATTTTTTTTAATATTCCCTATGTGAAATACAATATTTTCAATAGCTTCAAGAAGCATTTGCTCGTGGCGATCTTAAGCCGGGTTTGAACATAGAATTCAGCTCAGGAAAGGAGAGAGTTAACAATATCGTAAGTAATGGACAACTGACAATTATTATATTAAAAATTTTAACCACATTTATTTTTACAGCCGAAATTGCTAGCCAAAACAGATGAAATTAAACTAGATTTGAATTGGATAGAAAGAATGGATATGGTAAACGATTTAGCTCCATTGGCACCTGAATTAGTCGTACAGTTAGAGAAACATGAGCAGAAGCGCGCCAATATGTTTAAAGGCAATGCCAAAATTCCATATGTGCGTCCGGATGAAGATCCTGTACTAAATGACTTTAAACGTGAAATGTTATTTCATCGTCAAGCACAGGCCGCCGTTTTAGAGGGAATAAAACGTTTACATTCTGCGGGAGTTGTTACTCGTCGTCCCGATGACTATTTTGCTGAAATGGCGAAATCTGACGAACATATGCAGAAGGTACGTTCTAATCTTATGGCCAAGCAAGAGGGTCAAGCAAAGTCGGAACGTATCAAGCAAATACGTGAACAACGTAAAATGGGAAAATTACTTGCAAAGCAAACGAAAGTACAGCGAGAAATGGAAAAGAAAGATATGTTGGATAAGTTGAAAAAATTCCGGAAAGGCAAATTGAAGAATCTTGACTTCTTAGAGGACGCCAAAAATTTAGAATCACAAAAGAAGAAATCAGCAGACAAGCGGAAACAACGTAATAAAAAGTTTGGGTTTGGTGGTAAAAAGAAGGGTCAGAAACGAAACACAAAATCATCTGCTGGTGGATTCGAAAAAGTGAAAAACTTTAGGAAAGGTGCAAAAGTTTCGAGCAGTGGAAACAAACGGCTAGGAAAGTCTCGCCGGTTGAAATCCAAATCACAGAAATAGTATATTTTTAATATTCATAGCCTAGACCTATTATATTAAACAATAGTTATAAAAGTTAAAATATTATGTATATATACTTTTTTATTTATCACTATTATTTAAAGGYATCTCTGTTCTGTGCTTTTTTCTCTTTTTGTTACTTTCTGATTTATTTGATATATTTACATCGCTTTTACCACGATGTTCATCACCCATATGGTCTCTCGATTTTAGTTTTCTTTTGTTTTTTGACGATTTTTTACTTTTTTCTGGTGGGTCTTCGGAGTTTTCTTTTCGCCTTTTATTTTGGCTTGAATTGACAGAGCTAGAAACTCTGGTTTCATTTACATTTAGCACTTCTTCTGGAACAACATTCGTAGTCATTAATTTAGTTTTCTTTGTTTTTCTGATATTTACATCTGCGTTTATGTTGCTATTTTCAGGACTGTCTTTTCGTTTATTTTTCTTTAATTCAGTTAAAGAATTATTTTCTTTACTTAAATTTAAATCGGTTATTTCCTGTTCCTTATTCTTCTTTTTCTTTGCTTCTTCATGTGCCACATTTAAATCAGATTTCTTTTTGAAATCCTTTTTTGCGGATTCCTTGATCTTTTCTTCCATTTTAGCCAAAAGTTCCTGCTCTTGCTGTTCTATACGAGATAGTTTTCCACTTAACTTCAACCCATGCCGTGCTCCTTTATGAGCAGTACGTCCMCCACAAGCTCGAAATAACTCTTCGTCTGTTAAAGGTTTGTATTTCTTAACGGATATGTCTGCAACAGCAATTTTGTTGGGATTTTCAATTTCATCGCCCGATTTTGTAAGTGTGGCTGATTGTAKAAAATTATCATATCGGGTGTCACTTGGGCAACTTTGATCCTTGGCTTTTTTCAATTTTTTCACCGAATACTCCTTTGTAGTTATTTCTACACTTTCGTCTTTGTTTTTTAGGTCCACACTTACACCATTTTTTGTCGTTCTCACATCAACATTTTCTGCGGCCTCATTGAAAACGCGTTCCCACCAATGGTTATTGAAATCACTGGCTGCTTGATCAGAACCAAGTCCAGCATTGTCAAATTTCATACTAGCTTTCAAGGGTTTGACAATGCCATTGTTATGCTTTCCTAAACCTTCTCCTTCTTTCCATCCGTATTTATTCAATAGTTTACGAGCAAAATCCATTCGAAACTTTATTATTATTACTATCTATACCAAGAACGTGAACTACTTTGCTGTGCTATTTTACAAGACAGGCAGTGGATGAGTGATGCCAGATAATTTTCAAAACTTTGCCCACTGCTATCGATGTAAAATTATCAGAAAAGAGTACTGTGGGTGAAAAAATGCCAATCCGTAAAAATTTGCTGTTTWTATTTAAAAATTGTAAATACCATAATGCATAGGGTGCAAAATGTTTTATATTGGTTTGTGTTATTTGTCATTTAGAAAACCAATTTAAATATKAAACGCAGTTTATTCAGAGCATATTGGAAGTTAAATTATAGAACGAAGCATTTCATTTTTCGTATAATAACGCGCGTATGTACTGTTATTTTTAAATATCTTTATTCCATTTTAATTATTTGTTTGAGTGTGTAACGGGATAATTTTTTAGTATGACCAGACAAAAAACTCATAAATGGTAATCATTTTATACAATAATTAATTTGGGAAGATTTCACTTCAAACTCGACTGCTGTTTATACAAAATATATACATATGTACACAAAATTCTCGAATAAATATATATATATATATATATATATATATATGTGTATATTAATTGTAGAATATTAACAGTACTTTTCATCTAAAATGTGAGTACTCGTATTATTATACCGTGAGCCTGGCTGGTACGAAGTAGCTATTTTAGTCATTGATTATCAGCGAACCGATAAGCGGTTTTTTGTAGGCATATATTAGTGGATATTCGTTGGGTTATATTATGGATATGAAGTTATTGGTATTTCTATTATTTCTATATGGTAATATAATTCCCATAATGTGCATGATAATACCGGGAACCGATGCTGAAGCTATTCAAATGATGTCTTCACAAAGAGCTCGTCGGCAAATTGATATAAATTTGTCAGCTGAACATGATGAGAATAACGACGAAACAGAAATTGCTCTAGAAGCTATAGCTAATTTGTGGCGTAGTGCTGATAGCAAAACACAGATCGAAGGGTCAGCTAAAGTGACACACAATAGCAATTCCATGAATTCCGGAAATACACGTTTTTCAGGACGTTTACATGTTCATCACGACTATAGGAAAAAGTGATTTTGTAAAAATTATCGTTTCCAAATTCTCGTAAAAGTTTGCATGATAATTTAAAAAATAATAGTATATACACATATGTATGTATGTATTTATGTCAAATTGTCTTCACCGTTATCAATAAAGAGATAAGATGTTCTACATAACGTAAACACATCTCTTATACATAATTGTCCGATGGCCTCTCAATCTAACAGTGTGTGATTTGAATTAGTTGGATATCATAGAAAAACAATGAGAGGACTAACGTCACCATATATTCTTATATTAATGCTGATGTATTCTGCAGCAATGTGTCAAAAGTTGTATGACGAAAAACCACATCTAGAGCATCTTCAAAGATATCATCGTCAACTGGATCTAACATTAAGCGCTGATCATGACAGTCGTAGGCAAAATACGGACTTATCGCTAGAGGCATTAGCCAACCTTTGGCGCAGTACAGACAGTAAAACGTCTGTTGATGGGGGAATTAAGTTGGTCCACAGCAAAAACAATTTTCAAACGGATAGCACAAAATATACAGCTCGTCTTGATGTGAAATTTGAGCTTGGAAAAAAGTAAAAATTGCATCACTTATTTGTATTATATTGTAAAATAAGTACGTAATAATATAATTTTGATTTCTTTTTATTTATATTGTATATGTGGGCGTTTTGTTAAATAATTTTACATATTATAAAATAAAGTGTATGTATATATGTATTTACTATATATATATATATACATATATGTATATTTAAAGGATTTATGGTGTTGTTTATGTAATTTATAATTTAATGCGCTTAATGTCATCTATTCGAAAATCGATACGTAATGCTAATAATGTTCGCACTTCTTGAGGCGTTAACCGCCAAGAAGGAGACTCATTTTCGTTATCCGGTCCCCAATAGTCTGAAAGCTCTTCAACTTTTTCCAGATTTAAGATAGTCGCTATTTGTGTTAGACGTGTCATTTTATCGCGCACCGACCATGATGTGACGCCAGTTAAATATGAGCTAAGGGCACGAATTTGCTGGTCGAGTATAAGACCTCCCAGCCGATTAAATGACGATTTTTTGATAGCTCTCTCTAGTCTAGATGTTGTATCTGATGTCAAAATGCTAACAAAAGCGTCAAAATTTCGTGGAGTTAGAACATTTTTAAATTGACTTAAAAATGCATCGAGTTGCACAATAAGAGTTTGGATAAAAGTTTCTCCAGCTTCGTAGTCAGCTAGTTCTTCTTCTGATAATATATGGCTATAATTGAAGAATTGATCAATCCAAGGATTTAAGCGAGGCTTTATTGCGCTGGACCTCAACTGTATCAGACCGAAATTCACGCAGGCTTTCAAAGTATCTCTTACATTTCTTAATTCAGCTATGCAGCTATCTACGATTCGCTGCTCTGTAACTGATAAAGAGGGGAATGTATTTTTAATGTCTTGTTCCACTGTTTCCCACAATGTWTCGAGGAACTCCGTTGACATATCAGCATTATTCAAGCGATTTATAAAATTGCTGCGTGCTTTTTCACTGTCGCTTGATTGCAATTTGCCATGTTGCACAGCACTTTGTATTGCACTATAAGCCAAATCTGTGTAACCAGAAGGATATCCATTTTTTAATGGAATTTTCAAAGCATTTATGAAGTTGCATAAACAGGAAGCGGTGTTATTAATTACTGCACATAATCCATTTACTGATTGTGTTGTTAATGATCGACGAATACATTTTCGTAATATGTAGAAAACATCATCTACCATAGAGGAACATTGTTGACCCACCTCGTGTGTATCTAAAATTATAGCTTTATACACACTTTCCTCCATGAAATGCCTTTCGAAGAGTAGATAAGTGCTTAGTACCTCCTGCATTTTCCGGCTAAGATCTGAATTATTTAGTATGGTTGATAAACTTTGAATTTGCTGTTCTTTTTCATTTGAATCTTTGTCACTTGCCTCAATGTCCGACTTAACTTTACGCTTCAAAAATCTGAAGTACAATTCAATACGAGAATGCATTATTGTTAATTCCAGTATTAAAGCATCCAAATCTTTTGGTTGTGGTTTATCAGTGTTTAATGATTGTTTTTGAAATTGAATAAGCGAAGGCATATTGCCACCCATTGAACGATTGTATTCGTTGATTTGTTGAATTAGATCCGGAATACGACGATTTTTATTAAATTCTAAAATTACATTCTTCACCTCTAAATCACATTCATTTTGTAGTAATGTGGCCAAGATAATAAGATAACCAGATCCATAGTAAGTCTCTATAATAGGTTTGTTTACCTCAATTACTCTGGCGAAATTTTCAAGCAATGTCGTTAAGGTGTCAGCAAACGCCACTGATAAGCGGTTCTCTGCCTTTGCAATATCTAAAGACGATCGCAGTTCCTTTTCACATTTTAGCGCTAATTTCATACAAATGTACTTTCCAAATTTCTCAATACCATCCTGTTGCATACCTAATAACGGGAATAATTTCAAGAAACGTTCGATGGATGYTAAGTCATCTTTATTAACTGCTTCATCAAAACGGATAACAACAAGCTTTCGCATTTTCTCTGTAGCCTTCTCCAATGTATGGACCGCATCGCTTACCGATGTTACCGAACCGTTTGATCCGACGTCACCAGCTGTACGCCGTAAAACATTTTGATCAATTGATAAAAAGCGCCCAATGAGTGCAGATCCCTTTTCATAATCTTCATCCTCAATGGCATTCAAAACACTTTGACTACAAAGTTGCAGATCTATCAAATCGTGAACACGCTTCTGGCATTCTGATGCTCTACTCCGTGCCATATCTACAGAACGTACTTTAGCACTAACAGATTCGGCTAAATCGGAGGTATGAGAAATTTGTGAACTTAATTTTTTACAGTCTGTGCTTACTGTGTTAAGGGCACCCAGGAAATAACAAATTGCATTCATTTTGGAGTCTAAAATTGACTGCTTGGAAAGTAGGTTTTCTAAATTGGAATTAATAGCTTCCTCTTCGTCTTGTATTTTCAATAAATCCGATTGCATATTGTTTGCTTCACTCGTATCCATAGAAGAAATCTTTTTCTTTTTTGATTTATATTTATTTTTAGTATATCTAATAACAATATTAGTTTTCAAAAAGACGCAAAGAAAATATTTTATGTCGTGTCAATAACGTAAACAGTTCTGATTAATTCTGAAGACTCGAAATCGGTTATCGATACAGCTTAGCATTATTGCATTTTAATTAACCCATTGTAGAGAACAAAGAATAATTGCAGGAAATATTGATACATAATTATTTTTAAAGTAATAATAATATATTAATAATCATCATCGGTTTAAGTTCCCGTAAATATATAAACAATGTTTTAGGATTCTGAAATAAGTGCCACTTTATTATTTTTTTGCAACCTCGTCAACCCTGAACCATCTTTATTATTGTTTTTCTTTTTTGTAAACAACGTCAACCCTGTTACAGACTTGTTCGTTTTGAACTTTTGAAAACTTTTTATTGTATTTTAAAATTTATTTGAATTTATTTCTTTCACGTCATACAATTTTGGAAATATGTCGACTCACTTGGCTAATGTTTACGCATTTTTATTACGTGGATATGGTGAATCATATACACTAATATATTCCGAACCTCCAACATATTTATGTAAAATAGTTGGACAAGATAAATGTGGCGGCAAAGTTGTCTTCATTTATCAAGAGGTTATCATCTAATTTGAAATTCACGTTAGTTGGATCCTAAGATATTTTATTTATTTTTTAGGATCGTAGTTTAAGCGACAAAATCTACTCATCACCAAGAAAATTACGTATTAATATAGAAGACGGTGGTAAAATAGATATGGACCTAACTGGCAGCCCATTGAAAGATGATTGTGTGGTGGATGCCATAGAAGATATTTCATTAAATATAAAAATAGATCAAGGAAATTCTTGGAAAGTTGAAGAGGAATGCCAAAAAGGGATTCCAATTGGAAAAGCTCGTTCTTTAATGTGTAAAGCAAATTTTCAGTTTCTTGATCCTGATGCAGCAGGTTCAATATGGATTCTTTGTAATGGAGCTGATGCGGATAAAACTCTACTCTTGCAATATGAATTTGTTTCCGGTTATTTTAGCCGAGGCATAATTTCTTTTTCTGAAGTGATACAAGTGAATGAAGTAAAAATAGAATCTATAATGCGGCAACATATGTCGCTTAATAATGGAATTTCTACTGGTCAAGTGGAAACCTACATTGAGAACATTTATCAAATAAAGCCCAACATTTCTGTGAGGTGTTGTTGGTCCTCCACTGCAGCATTACCTTCTCTAATTGATTTAACGTCATGTGAAGTCACTTTACGGCAAGCTTTTCGACTAGATGCTTGTAATGAGTTAACAGAAGATTTCATGAATCAATTGCGGATATTGACTGTAATTAAAAATGATATAATAGCGTACAAGAGTTTGGATAAATGTGATGCTGAAGCAGGAAATGAAGTTCTTGTTTACCGCTGTGGCTGGTGAGTGATATATATTCTTGTATTAGAAAGGTTTATAATTGATTTCGAAATTTTCCATAGCGGGATAGATATAGGGRAACTGCGAGAAAGTATAAGCAGGGCATTTACTGAAATTGCTGGTTTAGGAGATATGCACCGCGCAGAGAGTGGTATCAAGTGCGATATAGAATCTGTTGTGCAACGCATAAAGTTGCGGCAACTTACAGACCTCACAGATAAATTGTGGGAAATTTTGAGACGTAAGCTAAAACAATTATTTTATTAGTGGTATACATATATATATTTAGATATATTTTAGGTTGCTCTTCATATAAAGATCTAAAAATGGCATTTACGATTCTATTTAAGTGTGCAGCTCACTGCAATATTGTGGTAAGTGTCAAATAACATATCATTCAATAATACATATTTGACTTGCAGCTGTTAAGCTATTAGTTTTTTAACAAGGTAAAAATGCCAATCCCTTAAAAGTTTAAAAAGATGAAAAAAATCCAACTTATCGTAAATAAGTATTTTTAGAACTTTCCTTTCTACTACATTTCAATTTCTTCTTTCGTTTTACTTAGAATACACCAACAAATAAGAATCGACTGGCAGAAATCATTACCGAGGTTGCGAATAAACGCTTGGCCATACCATGTCTCACGGGTACCGAACCTTTGGAACTGTTATTAGAAATCGGTTTGGAAAAACTGTACAAAGACTATGAACACATATTTGATGAAAGTAAAATATGTAGTTCAAACGATTTGAAAAGCAAAAGGTGAAGAAATCTACGTTAGCAGCTTTATTTATAATATATGTTATTAAAATATATATTTATTTTACAGTCTTTCTGCTTCGCAACATAACGATGAGAAAATTTCAATGCCAGATGTGCGCAAGTCACTG